GGTCGTCCTAATTGGCAACGATCTTACGGTGATACGATGCGTTCTTGTCGTGCGATGAATTTTCAAACATACAGAATTTTTCAGAGGTTTCACGAGCACTGGTACATTATTTTCATCGCACGATGAGATCGCATCGCATGATGAGATCGCAACGCGCCATCGCACGATCGTTTCCAATTAGGACAACGTCTAAGACATTCGTGTGTACAGCCACAAGTCGATAAGTGGGTACTAGGCATTCCGATGCCACTTGTTCCGAAGTATTGTGACATCGATCCGTCCGGTGTGACCTTGGTTAGTCGATCTATCGATTGCTACCAATAAACGTGGCGTACATACCGAATGGCTGAAGAATTAATTCTGTTCCGAGAATAGATTGAGATTTAGAAAGGAAAGTAAATAGCGAAACCAGAGCGTTGAGGAGAACGGTGAATACCGCTCGAATTGAAGATTGCTCGTTGCCCGAATTGCCATACACGAGCGTGTTATTGCCCCATTAGTCTTTTAATCGTCTCGGAGAATTGGTATGTAGAGAGATAGTTAAGAAGAGAGCATATGCCTTGCCTAACCTTCCTTGCTTCTTAAACTTTACATCAATTTGATGCATGCACCTACACAATATTCAATTATTTACCACTAGCGGCCCGCCCTCGCTTCGCTTCGGTGTAGAGCTGAAGTGTAGACTACAGTTTTTGTTCTCAGGCTTGTATTATACACAATGACATTCATCTATGATTCTTCTTATACCTGCATGCAAAGTCTCAGCCCGATCGGTTTAAAATTGACAAAGTTTCATACAAACTTTCATTCCCTATTTTTTCCCCTTGGGGGTAGAATTGATCAAAATCCTTTCTTAGCGGATGCCTACGTCATAACATCTACCTGTATGCCAAATTTCAGTTGATAGATCACTATGTCAGTCAGTCACCTTTGAGTTTTATATATATAAATACTATGTGTATCACACTCACAAACACAGTACACTCTAGGACCCATATTTCACACATAGATATAAGAGCATTACCTTCTCTATTTAGTTTGTAAGAATGTTAGTTATTTGTGTAATAGTTGGCAGTTGTTTATTACTGGCTGTGACCCGCATGACATCACAGGGAAATGGTTGAGGCTGAAAAACAGCACGGACCAGGGCATACCTTGGCTCCGCTTACGCTGAGCCTCGTCCTCTTGCCTCCACTAAATGTTATTTTAAGATATATACTTGTAATTTTGTTTTTCCTATATGTATAGTACGCTTTAATAAGTGTATCATAATTTGTAGGCAATAAAACAGTTTATTATTATTATATGTCATTATACTTAACACTAGCTTTTGCCCGTGGCTCTGCTCGCATTAGATTTGAGTTTGAGTGAACGAATGAATGTCAAACTCAAATCTATATCTATACTTATAATAAATCTGTAGAGAGGTCAATTCTGTACATGAAATATATTTTCAAAATAACTATCAGGGGGTGATAAGTGATCGATACTGATGCCAAAAATGCAATCAGTAAAATTTTTGTCTGTCTGTCTGTCTGTCTGTGTGTATGTTCCTTATAGAAACAAAAACTACTCGACGGATTTTAACGAAACTTGGTACAATTATTCTTCATACTCCTGGGCAGGTTATAGTATACTTTTCATCACGCTACAATCAATAGGAGCAGAGTAGTGAAGGGAAATGTTGGGAAAACGGGAGAAGTTACTCCATTTTTTAAGCTTCCGTCGCGCGTGGAGCCTTAATGGTTAAAGTTACATAGAAATCATGTATGACGGAAATATTCTACATAAAATTGTCTAAAAATATCCCGCAACAGCATATGTGTATATTTTATGGTTGACTCACAATAACACGTGTAACTCCTGATAGCTTAGCAGTTCGGAGCATTCTGATTATATTTGTTTACTCTTACGTTTATAATACTCTCACTCATCCCTAATTTAAAAAAGTTAACATTATTACCTATTCAATAAAAAAAGAATCATAGAAATCGGTATAGAAACACCAAACTTATACATGAAATAAGCCATCGCGCCGTCGCACGTGAATACTCAATCATGCTTTAAGGATTATTTTTGTGTAACGCTGCCGCGCTCGACACGGGTCGTGGCGACGCGGTAGGGTATAAAAAGGCGGGAGGTCCGAAAGCGAGCTTCCCCGCCCCCCCCCCGATCCTGAGAGACCTTCAGTCGCTCAGTCCCAAACCGATACGGATGCACATCAGGGTGCATCCGTCCTCTAAGCGCACTATGCAGTAGTATTTACTAAGGCAGCGCTGCATCATCCCCTTCTCAGGGGTTGATCGCATTAGATGAAGCCTGTAAGGCCCCTAAGGCCATAGGCACCCCCCACGGGTGTGTTTTAGTCAGTAAGAGTCTGACATAACTCTACAGCCGGCTGTAGGGTATCCATGAGGATTTCACACCCGCTCCCCCGCCTGGGAGGAAACAAAAAAAAAAGAAAGCGAGCATCATTCAATATTTGGCTGTTGATGCGTTCAGAGCGTTCGACCTTATTGACAGACATAATTGATATTGAGAAACCGTGCTTATCTTAGAATAAAATCCAAACATTTGTAAACAAAATTAGCAAATAAATCATGTAAAACGTGTAGAAAATGAGTACTGGAAAACGGAAATAAGAGAATTTTAGTTTGGTTATAAATACAGGTAATAAAAATGACCGTTATTATCTATATATGTATATAGAAGTCAAAGGTGACTGACTGACATAGTGATTTATCAACACACAGCCCAAACTGCTGGACGGATCGGGCTGAAATTTGGCATGCAGGTAGATGTTATGACGTAGGCATCCGCAAAGAAAGGATTTTGATCAATTCTACCCCCAAGGGGATAAAATAAGGAATGAAAGTTTGTATGAAACTTTGTCAATTTTAAACCGATCGGGCTGAGACTTTGCATGCAGGTATAAGAAGAATCATAGATGAATGTCATTGTGTATAATACAAGCCTGACAACAAAAACTGTAGTCTATACTTCAGCTCTACACCGAAGCGAAGCGAGGGCGGACCGCTAGTAAATAAATAAATATTTCCAACACTCACACTAATAAGCCTAGCCCCAAAGTAAGCACTGTAAGGCTTGTGTTATGGGATACTAGGGTAACGGATAGAGTACATATATTGTACATATATAATTATATTTATATAGAAATACAAATTAAACGTCCATGATTGGAGTACAAATGCTCGTATTCATCACACAAACATCTGCCCCCACCAGGATTCGAACCCGGGTCCTCTCGAGTCGGCGACACCATGAAACCCGGCGTACAAACCACTCGGCCACGGAGGTCATCCGTGCCTATTAATGTCCCCACTGCTAGGGCACAGGCCTAAACTATGGATGGAATAGAGAGATTGGCTCACCCACGCGGGCCCAGTGCGTATTGGTGGCTGTTAGCGAGTACCAACGGCTTGACGTGTCTTTTGAAGCACGGAGCAGCTCGAGATATTTTGTAATTGTGGCAATACAGTTAAATTAAATCCAAAAAATATGATACATCTATATTCTGTTTGCGGAAATGTACGTGTTAGTGGAGCGCCTTCTTTATTCCACACCCGCTTACAAAGAACAAGAATGGACAATCTGTCATTGGCCCGAATAATGACACCATAACCGTTGCGTTGTTTCTCCGGCCAATGATATGAAAGACTGTACCAAGTTACCGGGAAAAGAGGATAGGCTTTGCGGGCTACACGGGGTGTTGCAATAGATTTTTCAGGTAGTTGGTTTTCCGTATTTGTTTAATTATTATTTTTAAACATAATAAAGCCCAATAGAAATCTTATATTAGGTGCAGTCGTTAAATCTCCTTCACTAAAACTATCCAGCGCGCAAATAACATGATTGTAATGAAAACATTATGCGAACAGTTTAAAGATCGTAAGGTCAACAATCTAGGCAGTAACACAAAGGAAGCTCCCCCGCCAAGCAAATATTAACTTTAATGCAATCAAAGTAATTCAGTTCATTATCGTTTGGAATTCTAAATCATAATAAATATGCATGTTGCTATCAGTTTGACGCATGATCAATTTATGTGGTACCGTTCTATCGTCCTACTCTAAATAGATCATGTTTTTGTTATGTAAATAAATATTATTGTATAATTAAGACAGTATTTAATTAAACATATTTTATGACTGCAGAAAAAGCATGTATGTATTCGCATAATCAAGAGTGAAATTTTGTTGCAATATACCTACATGTCGAGGATGCTATGATAAATCTAATTTTCGCGAAAATCCTAGGGATTTTGCGAGAACACGGATAATTAGACACTGGCGATGACATTTCTCAATGTTCCTTATTTTTTTTTTTGATTTTGATTTTTGCGAAAAAGCGAGTCAGATATTGCTCAATCAGTAAGATCGAAAAAGCGAGTCAGATATTGCTCAGTCTTACTGACTCGCTTTTTCGCAAAAATCAAAATAAAAAAAAAAATTGAGGAACATTGAGAAATGTCATCGCCATTGTCTAATTATCCCTGTTTCCGATTATCAGATTCGATCTATTAAATCATCCTACGACATAAACATAAATATACCAACAAAAATTACCCTCCTTTCGGCGCACTTGGGTATAATATTATGTATGTCATACATAACGTTACTTAGAAAGAAAGAAAAATCATTTATTGGCCTAAAAAACACAAGTAGGTAACAATAAGAAATTTTATTACGATAAAAATAAAAACAAACAGAGAACAACAATATGCAGGGAGAAGAAAGGCCAATCAGGATCCTGTCTCAGCTTAATGCTGTTACAATAGGGCGGGAATATTCCCACCGTAACAGCGGTTGTATTTTGGCAGGGCCTGGTTTGGTCATTTTTTATTTTACTTTGTTTTATGAATAGAAAAGTGATAGTTCGAACAAGCTTTTGTCGGTAACCTTCATGTACCCAACAATAATATAAGAAATGTTCTCGTAATGCCAGTTATATTTAATGAATTTTATTGTTTCTTGTTCCAGGGTCGTACCAGCCGAGCAATGAGTTGATGCTAAGGTTTTACAGCTACTTCAAACAAGCCACAGAAGGGCCTTGTGATAAACCAAAACCGGGGTTTTGGGACGTGGTAAACAGGTACAGTATAATAAATTAATAATAAATATTTCCAACACTCACACCAATTAGCCTAGCCCCAAAGTAAGCACTATAAGGCTTGTGTTATGGGATGCTAGGGTAACGGATAGAATACATAAACTGTACATATATAAGTATATTTATATGGAAATAGATATTAAACATCCATGACTGGAGTACAAATGCTCGTATTCATCACACAAACATCTGCCCCCACCGGGATTGGAACCCAAGACCTCTCGAGTCGGCGACACCATGAAACCCGGCGTACAAACCACTCGGCCACGGAGGACGTCTGTAGTATGCTTTGTTACTATAATTTATCCTGCTACAATTTGACAATTTGGTATACCTACCTATTTTTTATTTTATTCAAGGCTTAGAAAATTTATATTAATATTATATAAAGAGGAAAGATTTCATTGTTTGTTTGTATTGAATAGGCTCCGAAACTACTGGCCCGATTTGAACATTCTTTCACGTTTAGAATCGTAACATTATCCCTGATGAACATAGGTATAGCCTATACCCTATAGAGTTTTTTCAAAAAAGTTATACGATAGCGTAACCCAGGGTGTGAAAAAAGTGTGTTGTATAGAGGACATCAATATCTACAAAAAAGTCCGCGATACCATATGTGTAACTATTACAGTTATGTCACAACTAAAGGTCCCCTGCGGTTTCACCCGCGTTAATTTGAGGAAAAATGTTATAGTAAGCAAAACTTAAAAGATGGGCATATGCTGTCGCGGACTTCTTTATAGAACTTTTAAAGGGGAACAATTCCGCCATACATAATTTTTGTGTAACTTTAATCATTTACGTAGCGGAAGCTCACAAAAGGAATATTTTTACCCGTTTTTGCAACATTTAACATCGATAATCCGCACCTACTGGTCTCAGCGTGATGTTATACAGCCATAAGCCGTTCTCAATAAATGTACTATCTAAAACAAAAATATTTTTTCAAATCAGACCATTAGTTCCTGAGATTTGCGCGTTCAACCAAACAAATGGTGCATTCGGTGCAACGGGTCCTAAATAACGCAACAAAATGTTCACTATCAGTTAAATAAATATTCATGGAAGGTTTATAATTATATAAAGAAATTTATTCAGTTTATAATTATACAAGCCTGAGAACAAAAACAATAGTCTACATACACTACAGCTCTACACCAAAGCGAAGCGAGGGCGGGCCACTAGTAAATGAATAATTAATTGTGGCCCTAGTTCAGGTGTAAACATAGGTGAAATGACCTGTCATAATAAGGTGCCACGACGGCAAAAGTCAAAACAATTTCCAGCTGAAAAGAAGCGGGGTCGAATCCCGGTGGGGCACATATTAAGATGGCAAACAACTATATGACCCGCTGACCCCAGGACAACGGCTAACTAGAGCCGAGGCCCGAGTCTCTTAGACGCCCTCTAGTTGAGCCGACCCCCTCAGGTTCGAGTGGTCTAGAGATTCCAGACGGAGAGGAGACTCCCCCCGTGGGGAGATGTCATCCGCCTGGATTACCTCTAGAGGTACTCGCCAATTCTCGGCTTAAGGTTCCCTAAGGATCTCGCCGTCCCCAAACCCGGTGACGCTGTAAAGGTCATCTGCGACCAACAGCATACACACTCAAAAAAAAATAAGACCCGCCTGATGATAATAAGCGGCCACCATAGTCTATAATATCACTCGCAGCGTTGTCTACCTCTTTTTTTTTTTTTTTTTTTTTACGTCACGAAAATGCGTTTCGCTTACCTCATCGCCCTGAGAGTGCGGTTCGGTTATGTGGGACTCCTCCCCTCCTTCTCTCGTTCACTCGTTCAGCCAGTCCGTGGCCTCCCCTGGTACGGGATCCACCATCAGGCGACACCCTCCCCGATGAGGCAGCGGCACTGTGTGGCCTTGGGAACCCTTTCGGATACATCCACAGCCCCACCAGTGAGTGTCCGAGTCGAACGGACCCACCCAACTTGGGGATGCCCCGAGGCATCGAGGGCATCCCCACCTACATACAGAACCTGTACAATGCAGAGCTCGGATCTCCCAAGTCCGGGCCCCGAAGGCCTCCGTCTGTGCTGACTAAGAGCCGGTTGTTACGCCTTCTCCTAGCCCGCACCGTTAGACAACGTGTAGACACCCTGACCCAATCCTCTACCCCGTGGAGTCCTGGCACCTTATTCACCGACAGAAACATTACACCACACACACAAAGGTAGTGTTATTTTACTGTGGTCTCCTGTAAAGTTCAGGTTACTTCCCCAGACGGGGGCGCTCTAATTCGAGCGGGAAATCCGCTATGCCCCATCTCTCTTAAATACGAGCATTTCAACCTAATCGGTCTTATTGGTTAAAATAGAGAACAGATCAAATGCATTTTGTTACAAATTTAGCAGTCCTTTTATATATACGTACATTTTAAAAGCGTCAGCCGCTGTTGATTATTCAAACCAATGACAGGCGTCTTTCTCGTGTTACGCAGTTATCCATCATTGTTATTGGTAAGCTAATGTGTAATAAAGATAGTGCTCCACTAACTCCTTTCCGTGAACGGAGTATTAAACGTCGTTTCGCCCTTCTGATACGTCACGTCACGACACAAAATATTAGACAAAAATCCAGCTTAATTTACTGCTGTGTTGTCATCTTTAAGATATACTTATGCCATCACAACAGACACGACATATTGGTTCACGTGAAACAATTACCTTTAGACGAGAGGGTCATTTATTGTCAAAATCTGATTATTGAGGCGTTGTCGTATGCTGAAATACAGGGCGACAATACTAGTTCGATCCATGACTGTGGCATGATTCTCTAAACCTAAACTTACATTTGACAACAGTGCATCCTTGTCATCCTCTATACAGAATGAAAAGGAAAGACTGTTTTAAGTTTAGAGAATCATACCAGAATCGACACCACCGTTTACTATACTTGTTAAGTCTATTTATGGTCACTATAGTTGGTAGGACATAATGCTTCTATTATTATTAATTCTAGAGGCACAAGGTTCATTTCAGCAATACGAAATATTTCTTATGTTTCAGAGCTAAATGGGAGTCATGGAACAGACTTGGCAACATGTCGCGCGACGAGGCGATGAAGGCGTACGTCGAAGAATTGCACAAGGTATTTTAAACTTCAAGTTAAAGTGGCTTCAATTGCCATTGAAAACTTATCATTGATAGTAGTTCTGTAGTACAGAAAAATGCGGCTTGTCCTTATTGGCTACTCGTGTTGGAACACTCGTTTACATTGCAAGCGACGCTTGTTTCAGGATATTATTGTCAGTGAAATCAAACAACGTTAATAGGCAGATGAACCCAGAACACAGAAAGAGTTTAGAAGTGTGATCGTAGGCCGTTTCTACGGGAACCGAAGTCACCGGCTCGCCCCCACTGCACTTCCACATAATAGATTATAGCCAATCAAACGACGCGACATAAAACAGTAGAACCAATCAGCGCTAGCACCCGAGAGCAACGATGCAATCAGAACCAAGTTTTGGTCACGATAAAAGCATTTGCTCATACACAACAGTGGCGCGGTTAGGGTCCACAAGGCCCATCTAACCTCTTTCTGTGTACTGTGCAGATGATAATGATATCCTATAAGTTTGGTGTGAACATTAGTTTAATCTAGTATTTCCTCCCTTAGATTGTGGAGACCATGTCGTACAGTACCGACGTAGCGTCCTTTCTATCGGTGGACGACAACAATGACCTCGAGTTGGTGGCGGGCGATGTGCTCGCGAGAGTACGTACCGACCAGGACACGCCAAACGGTAAGTTAATGTCTAGGAAATAAAGTGTATTTTGGCAAATCGCAGAAGGTTAACTTTCGGTCTTTCGTAACTCGCCGATAAGTTAGTACCGGTTTCATACGATATAATACCGGGTTTATTTGAGGTGATCTTAGTTGATCAACGACAATAATGACCTCGAGTTGGGGGCGTGCGATGTTCTCGCGAGAGTACATACCGATCAAGACACGCCAAACGGTAAGATAATGTCTAGGAAATAAAGTGTATTTTGGCAAAACACAGAAGGCTAACTTTCGGTCTTTCGTAACTCGCCGATGAGCTAGTACCGGTTTCATACGATATAATACCGAGTTTATTTGAGGTGATTTTAGTTGATCAACGACTACAATGACCAATTGTTTAAAATCATTCTTCTAATACCAATTTTTTCTAAAAAATAATTAAAAAATACATGGTAACAATCCCGTTAATAACTATAATGTAACACTTTGTTTGTTTTATGGCAGATTCGTCACCGTCCAGCGGTGACTCGTCTCCTGGCCGAGCGGCGTCGCCCGCGCGGACGAGACACGACTCTGAGGACGAATTCATCGACACCGTGGACGTTACTCTTGTAAGTATTCTGCCTACAATCTTCTGTATATATAAAACTCAACGGTGACTTACTGCCATACTGATCTATCAACGCACAGCCCAAACCACTGGACGAATCGGGCTGAAATTTGGCATGCAGGTAGATGTTATGACGTAAGCATAAGAAAGGATTTTGATCAATTCTATCACCAAGGGGATAAAATAGGGAATGAAAGTTTGTATGAAACTTTTTCATTTTTAAATCGATCGGGCTGAGACTTTGCATGCAGGTATAAGAAGAATCATAGATGAATGTCATTGTGTATAATACAAGCCTGAGAACAAAAACTGTAGTCTACACTTCAGCTCTACACCGAAGCGAAGCGAGGGCGGGCCGCTAGTATATGTATATAAACATCCATGACTTCATACTTAACATTTGCCCCCCACCGGGATTTGAATCCGGGGCCTCTGAGTAGGCGACATCCTGAAACCCGGCGTATATTAGTACCACTCGGCCACGGAGGTCGTCAAACTTTTCTTTAAATACAAAATATTGTGGGTAGTTACAGCACGTATACCAAAAGAAAATTGATAGATGTGATTCATGTTATTCAGAATAAAAAACCGGCCAAGTGCGAGTCAGACTCGTGCACCGAGGGTTCTGTACAAACTCAATTTAATACCTCTACGCCAATAAACAATATAATGACATTGTTTATTGGCAAGGTCCCGGCTGAAAGCCTATATAAACCCTTAAGTAAACAAACCGCCTATGACAACACCGGATATAGCGAAATACCGCTAAAAACGAAGAATATTGATAAAGTTCATATCGATATTCATCGGCTATAACGACCAACCGTTTTACTTGTCCCAGCAAAACAAAATATACTGTAGGTTTTTTTTTTTCATATTATACTTCTTATATGTTTTCTATCCGTTACTCTAGCATCCCAGAATACAAGCCTTATGGCGTAATTACACTTGTTCGTTAGCCTGAATACGATTGCTAATGGAATTCGGGTAAACGACTAAGTGAAAATGAACGGAGTCGAGTACGGCAGTATTCGGGTAGATTTTCTTTTGATTTCCCGACACCCTCTTCCAGTGTAAATATTGCTTCGGGTGCCCGAATTAGAGTAATGTCTTCTATCGTGCTCTCGAATACTGGCTAACGACCAAATGTAATTGAACCATTAGAGTCAATGATATTAAATAACCTAGATACAACAACACGAACAAAATCGTGGCCGAAACGTGTCCAAGAGGTACATTGTTAGATCCAAGGAGCTCTGTAAGATGATCGCGTGGTCAAAAACCATATAAGGCATTATTAAAAACATTAAAAGGCACCTTTAATACATACTGTATAAGGTCTTAAATAAAACTCATACGTCAAAGACTTCTGACAGTTCGAATTGCAAGCTCGTAAAATTTTATTGACTCTACGCGCAATTCCGAATGAATTGTAAGCAATATAGCAGGTACGGATCGCGAGGAAATGAGACGGCTATACGGCGACGTATAACTGACCATGCATTTGAATATCACAAATATTTTTATATTAAATCAGTTTATTAGTAAGTATAAGAATAAATTTTGCTTCAAATGCGTTAAATTAACAAACATTGATTAGATACCTGTCGAAAAAACGACACATTATGTACTCTATGTATTTTTTTTCCTATTTTTTTCACGGAGCTTTGTGGCATCTTGACTTTGTAACGGTCCGCGCGTGACTGTGAACCAAGAAGTGCTTGAGTGTAGTTCAAGCACTTCTTGATTCGGACACATTGTGAGCGCTCGTGGTGTCTAGATACAGGTATTTAATATCGTTGATTAGAGTGCTTACTTTGGGATAGACTAAGTGGTGGTGTGAGTGTGGGAATTTTTTTATTTATTTATACCTTTAATTTATTAGTAAATGTGTTTGTTATATAAGGCTGAACCGGAACAGGTGCAGCAGAGAACTGTCCCGCGGCTGAGCAACGGCCACGCGCACCAGATCACGTCGCAACTCACGCGTGAGTCACGATCACAACACAACTAGAGTCTGTGCGGAAAGAGAATGGGAGTTAGATTTGAGGGCGCAGTAGTGCTAGTAGACATGATTAAATACAAAAAAAAACCGCAAGAAATCACAACAACAAACAAATCCATATCAATACAAAACTTCGACGTTTGACAGATGGCTGGATAGATTGCCATATAAAAATCTTAATGTTAGTTCCGTTTTTCGCCACGCCCTTTCTCTTTCCGCATAGACTCTAATACTATACTCTATTCAACTTCGTCTGAGGCAAAAGTTAATATAGTCCAGTCATTTTTGGGTTTCACCTCGGAACTAATAAATAATACAAATAATTTATTGTTAATAATATTTTAATGATTTGGTAAATGTATACAACAAAGTTTACATTTAAATCATATCATAACTAGTGCTTACTTTGGGGCTAGGCTAATTGGTTTGAGTGTTGGAAATATTTATTTATTGTAATACGAAAGAACCCTATCATAAACGTAATCGGCCATGCCACAGAGTAACATAGGTCCTTTTTGGTCGGAAAAAAGGTAGACACAATATTTTTTTAGCGCCGCTTTTAAATCAATGACATTCATTGTCACGTACTCATATTTGCCATAATTAATCGGAATTATTAGCAAAGGATGAGCTCGATGGCGCAGGTGGTTAGCGCGTTCGGCTGCGATGCTTGAAGTTAAGCAACTTTCGCAGTGGTCGGTCATTGGATGGGTGACCAAAACATCTATCTCGAGTTCCTCGTGCTTCGGAAGGCACGTTAAGCCGTTGGTCCCGGCTGCATCTGCAGTCGTTAGCACCCGCCAATCTGCACTGGGCCCGCGTGGTGGGTCATGGCCTAATCTCGCTATTCCATGCATAGGGAAGGCCTGTGCCCCAGCAGTGGGGACATGAATAGGCTGATGATGATGATGATTACCAAATATTCACAGCATTATTTTGGTTGTAAATAAACCCGCGTAGTCAAGCCACAAGTAATAACATTTTACATTTCGGAGACCTCGCGCTACACAAGCGCCTGATTCGCAAGCGATAGCCCTTATTGCGCCATCAGAAATATTTACCTATTTATAATATATTAATAATAATAATAAATTATTTATTTGGTTTAACATACAATTGGTACAATACACAAATAGAATGACAGTAAATTTTAATTGAAACAAAAAGGTATGTGGCTCAGCATGTGACAGTCAAGTTTTGACTTGTCGCTGGTATTCTGCCACCACCTCACAATTATTATATTCTTAAAAACACATTAATAAGCAAAGGAGGCAAGTCAATTTATATTTTCGAAGCGGCAAATACAAAACGTCCCCTAGCAACAGCATTTCTAAATAAAGGCAGAGACAGGCGCAGGCCAGTGTCCCTCAAATTAGTACCACGAGTCCTCCATTTTAACTTACTATGCATATATATCGTTATATTTATTTTAAGCAACGAATACAAAAAACAAACATATTTCAAATCCCTTACTCCGCCCATACCCAGGACCCTGTTACGGACCAAGTGGGGAGTAATATGATCCCTCTTTTTTATTGGGAAGCAAAATCACATGCAAGCATTCTGTACCCTCTGAATTCGCTGCTTAGTCTTTGCAAGCAAACACGGAATTAATACAATATCACAATATTGTAGGTGCGATATAACTAAGGAGTTACACAGTTGTAATTTAACATTTGTGCATAAAAATCGATTCAGTTTATACTGTGTACAGTTGTAATTTAACATTTGTGCATAAAAATCGATTCAGTTTATACCGAGTCTGGAGCGACCCAAAACAATGACCAACCTTTCGCCCAATATGATTCTCGAACCTAAGATTTTCATCTATATACAGACTCAGATTCCGAACACAGCTTTCCCGGGGTATAGGCACATTGTTTAAACTTACGCTTACTTGTACACTTTTGATAGATTCCACTTGATTTCTAGTACCTAAAATAATTTGGACACTTTTGGTTGGGTTTAGCATTAGACAGTGCGTACTAGACCACTCCGCGACGGCCTGAAAATCCCTATTTAGTTGATTCACAGCTAGTGGCGGGGCAAGATCTAAATTTGACGTGGGCAAGACAGATTTCGCGAGACTCTGTTCTGTGGCGACCTGAAGACGGATTTTATAAAATAATAAAAAGAAAGAAATTCGCTTTTAAGCAATGCATAAAAATTTTTGAGGCACGAGGCGCCTTGTACCGCGTGGCCGTAGGCGGTGGCCCACGTCGCCCACGCCTTACGCCGCCTCTGCTCACAGTCGACGACACAGCGCTCACAGTAGGGTTGGTGTGAACATAAAGCTGTGTGTCGTCAGCATAAAGGTATTACTGACAATTAGCAATAAAATGCAAACAGCGTAGGACCGGATATGGAACCTTGAATCACCCCCCTTGCGATAGCTATCGGATCTGATATCTCGAACCTGCCGTAATTTTTTACCATTATATATATCATTATCATTACATTAATCACTTAACAATGTATTTATTAATATGAGAAGTGCTTAAGAAACAAAGAATAACACAATAATAATAAAAAAAGTAATTATGTGTTTGTGTGTGCGAGATATCAAGTGTGTGTGTGTGTGTGCGCGGGTGCGCGCACATATGTATATTGTATATACATAATTTTTTGTTATCGTAGATCTGAAGGTGTTGGAACAGTTACCCGGCACTCTGGCCCGGCTAGAGGCTGACGTGGCGGCTCTACGCAAAGCGGTGGAGGGAGACCGCAACACTATACAGGTACGTGCGAAAGAGATAGACAACTATCTTCCTATACTTAAAAAATATGACAAATATAGTGTATGTAGCGACTTTATTAAAATCCAGAGTTGTATGATAGTAATGAGGAGCTGGCGAACAAAACAGTATAATTACATAAAATTAAATTTTACAGGAGCCGTATAAAACTGAATGAATGAGGAGCTCGATGGCGCGGGTGGTTAGCGCGTTGGGCTGCGATCGTTGAAGTTAAGCAACTTTCGCAGTGGTCGGTCATTGGATGGGTGACCAAATATTACTATCTCGAGCTCCTCCGTGCTCCGGAAGGCACGTTAAGCCGTTGGTCCCGGCTGCATCTGCAGTCGTTAGCACCCACCAACCCGCACTGGGCCCGCGTGGTGGGTCATGGCCCGATTTCCCTATTCCATCCATAGGGAAGGCCTGTGCCCCAGCAGTGGGGACATTAATAGGCTGATGATGATGATAAAACTGAATGGCATACCTTCCAGTGAGCTTTTGTCATGGTTTCTAATTTATATATATTAACACTGTTTTAGGCGGTTTTGATTGAAAATTATTTGAGATAAGTCAAGGGAAACGCAAAACGAAACGCCCGAAACCGCCGGACTGTAAAAAAAAGGAGTTTGACCAGATGCGTAATTATACCCAGCTCCTTAGTTCAAACACACGTTGATTCTTTAGACTCATCATCATCAGTCTATTAATGTCAGGCCTTCCCTATGGATGGAATAGGGAGATTGGGCCATGACCCACCACGCGGGCCCAGTGCGGAATAGTGGGTGCTAACGACTGCAGATGCAGCTGGGACCAACGGCTTAACGTGCCTTCCGAAGCACGGAGGAGCTCGAGATAGTAATTTTTGGTCACCTATACAATGACCGACCACTGCGAAAGTTGCTTAACTTCAACGATCGCAGCCGAACGCGCTAACCACTTGCGCCATCGAGCTCTTCATTCTTTAGACTACAATTCCTAATTCCCATTTAAGCTCCATAATGTTGACACATCTCTTATCATTGAGGGGTTTCTGGAATAACGGCCGTCAGGTGGCATTACTGAGTTGAAAGATCCGTCAAATCACGCATATCGTCAGTCTAGATCTAGACCCTCGTATGTATAAGACGATGATTTCTGCCACGAGTTGAGAAAATTATTTTTATACCTTCATTTTTCATATTTTGCTCAAGGTGTCGCCTACTCGAGAGGTCCCGGATTCGAATCCCGGTGGGGGCAGAAGTTTGTGTGATGAATACGAGCATTTGTACTCCAATCATGGGTGTTTAATATGTATTTCTATATAAATATACTTATTATATATATATTCTAGCCGTTACTAGGGTCGTAACCCTAGAATCCCATATCATATGCCTTACAGTGCTCACTTTGGGGCTAGGCTGGTGTGAGTGTTGGAAATACATATTTATTTATTTATTTGTAATCTATGTAGGGGAAACTACCCAATCATTGGCACTCGTCCTATTATTGGCACTTCTGAGTTTAATTCGGAAAAACAAGTAGATAATAGATTATTCAAGGTCGTTACATATTAAAAAGAAAAACCTAGTATGGTTTCGAAATTTAAAAATTGGCAGCATTATTCCTGCAATCTATTGTCTCCTGTTTTTTCGAACTAAACTCAAAAGTGCCAATAATAGGAAGAGTGTCAATGATTGGGTAGTTTCCCCTACCTAATTATAAAAAGAGTTCATTTCACACAGCGGGCATCTGGTGGCTGGCGATGGCCGTGGCAGGAGTTAAGTCCGCCTACATTCGTGTTTATGTTCCTGTGGCCATTCATCGCCTTCAGAATTGCGAACAGGATGCGACGCAATAGGACAACGTAAGTGCGAAATTAGTGATGAAAATCTTAATAGCACAACGTTAGTGTGAACTATAGAACAGCATATCTACTGAAAAACTATTTAAAAATAAACAAAATTTCAACATTCGCATTCGTATTTATAAACAAGTTATAGCTTATTGTGAAGTAATTATTTTGTTGCTAATTAACCAAGTCATTACTATTTGTATTTATGTTTCTAAACCAAGTCAATTCTATTCTAAGTGCAATATTCATCAAAGAACAGTATATATAAAAACTTAAAAAAAAACTATATTAACACTCGTATTTTTTTATAATCAAGTAATTACTTGTTGGTAAGTAATCACTTTGTTGATAAGTAACAAAGTCATTACTTGACACTAGAATTAACAAAAACAATAATAGTTTCTATTGCTTGATTAAGAATTCTCATTTTTGACAGTTCTGACTTAGATCAGTTTCTTCAGTATAAAATGAAAAATGTTGCTCAAGTAATTACTTCTTTCTCTTTCTATAATGTTTTAATATATTTTTTTACTTTTAAATCCAAATTTTGGATTTTCAAGTCATCTACTATATAAAAATAAGTCGGGTTTTCCTTCCTGACGCTAAAACTCCAGAACGCACGAACCGATTTCCACGGTTTTGCATTCGTTGGAAAGGTCTCGGGCTCCGTGAGGTTTATAGCAAAGAAAATTCAGGAAAAATTTAAAAAAAAAATCTTTTTTAATCACCAAACGAAATGTTACATAAAACGAAGCCATCTGGTGGCGAAACGGAGATCGCGGGGTTTGCTAGTTTTTTTTAAATTTTATATCAAAGAAACGACACACAGGCATATGTACATGCTGCTTGGTGGCATGAGGTCACTAAAATAGGCTCATAGACTCTTATAACTGGGAATCCGGTTTTGATAATGCTTACTAAAACTCTTTTAAATAAAAAACGATACTAAATATTTTTTTTCATCCCACCACCTCGGAAAGTGTAATTTTGCGCTTCGAAATCTGGCTGGAAAATTCTATTTTATTCGCTTGAGCGGCAAAGTAGATTTGAATTTAGAACATCACATATAATGAGTACTCAATATAATTGTAAATTCAAAACGTCATTAAACCTATTTAATGTAACCTCTATGGTGCCAAATTTATGATTAGAACTTTTTAAATTGTGAAAAAATTTAAATTTGGAACCTTCTTGGTTTCTTTGTTTTATTTGCGTGCTTCGCGCCATTCTAGTTTTTCACGTTTTATTGCTTAAATATTTTGTCATTATAAATTGTTTTCTTTTTCATTTTGTCATTTCCTCGCTGAGGTGGGATGAAAAGTTACGTATTGCACTCGAGTGGAAAGATTTTTCACCTTGTGCTCGTTTGTTTCCCTCGCTGACGCTCAGGATTCTAATTTAGAATCACTCGCTGCGCTCGTGATTCAACTTTAGAATCCTTCGCTTGCTCGGTCATCCAAATCGAGCACGCGGTTAAAAAGGAACTTTCCACTCTTGTATAATAAATAACTATTAACGTTTATTTCTGATAGTAGTACATCACTATTTAAGAAATGCAATAAATCGGCAACACATGTAATGTCATTTTTGTATAGAGTAGGGGAGAAATAGACTCTACTACAAGTGGAAGTGTCCCTCTAATAGAAAGAGAAAGAAGATGAGAGACAGCTAGCTTCCTCTCTTTAATCGCGCATGCGCATTGGCAACCGTAAGCATCTTACTATTTCGATGTAATGCTTGGACCAACTATTGGACAGACGACTGCGCATGCGTCACAACAGAGAGAGATAGCTAGCGGTCTCTCATATTCTTTCTCTTTCTACTAGACGGACACTTTTAGAGCCCCACTCTATTCTTATACCTCTATGCATTTCTCTCTCTACGATTAAAAACTATTTTAAAGACTATATGTATTTATATTTATTTCTTCTTTCATAGATAACGCCGTTGAGAACTAACGAATTCAGAAGGGGAGCTCGTGACAAAACAACGGATACCTAATATTCGGAACATTTTATTTATAATACCCATAGGCATAGAAAATGGACCAACCTTTCGCTGACCAAATGTAAAGTAAAACAAAAGTATGTATGTGAGAGACAAGAGGTCGTGCGGTTAATAAAATTATGTATGAGAGAGGCAAGAGGTCGTGCGGATAATAAAATTATATATGAGGGACAAGAGGTCGTGCGGTTAATAAATTTCTGTATGAGAGGGACAAGAGGTCGCGCGGTCAGTAAAATTATGTATGAGAGAGACAAGAGATAGTGCGGTTAATAGTTTTTTTTCTCTTTCTAGAGAGTTTTAGATTTCATGCGAGTCTTGTTCAGTACATTTTCTATGTCCATGATAATACGAGACATAATCGTTGGCAATGTGTATATTGAAAAACTTTTTTTTATAAGTAATGACCGATTTTAAAATGTCATGATCAGCCTATTAATATTCTCATTGCTGGGACAATTTCCTATTAGACTGGATAGGTGGACAAACCACGCGAGCCCAATGCGGATTAGCGGGTGCTACCGACTGCAGATGCAGCCAGGACCAACGGCTTAACGTGCCTTCCGAAGAACGGAGGAGAGATAATAAATTTGTGGTCACCAATCCTGCGACTGCCCTTTGCAAACGATGCTTATCGATCGCTGAATAAAAGCGCTTTACATTGCGCCATCGAGCACATCGTCTTAGTCTGATTTGTCATAGTTTTCTCAATATAGTCATTGCCATATTTTGTCCAAACAGTTTTGTCTCTTTCTTATGTTTTTGCGTGTGAAAGAGATAGTTTTTAAGTTATAAAGGGTCTTAGGGTTGCTACTGCTGAAAAGTTAATTTGTACGCAATCTTAAATTTTAAGGGCTGGGTGTTATGCTTTGTGGAATCGCGACTTTATTGTTTTTTCTAAGAAATTTAAAGTTTTTCTTTAGAAAAAACTAATTTTATTTAGGTTAAACACGAAACGGCAAAATATGGTAGTCGCAAATCCATAAAAAAACAAAGATGCATTTTATTCAAGTACTAAATTGTCAATTTTTATTTTGCAACCATGGACTTACTTTAGTATTGAGGATTAAAGTAAGTCAATGGTTGTAATATTTGAAGGTTTATTGGTTTATATTATGTTGGAAAAATAATTAAGGACTATTATAATTATGTATTTAAATACTTTGGTTACCAAGCATTTGGGTGTTTTTGTCGCCATTCAAATATATAGTTATTCAGTTTTGATCTCCTATTTAACACAGTCCGATCGATTAATTACTAAAGTTTTACGTTACAAAATCTTCACGAAAGAATCATAATTCATCATCAATCGATATTAATTTAATATATTATGGTGTCCAATATATACTTCTGATATTTGTTAAGCCCAGCAATTTGCAAATTTAATAAAAAAAGATATATTAAATCTGTGTATATATACGGGTATATAATTATGTGTTTGTTCTTGGGAACTTTAAATCTCTATAATACATGACTCTGGCAAAAGTCAAAAGGAGACTATTTTATTTTCATTCCAGATAAAAATAAAAGGTTTATTTTTTGTTTATTTATTTTTACAATTTCTTTTTTTACAAATATTTTGATATTGTTTTCGTGTATTTATAAAAACGTAATAGCTATGTATGTGTACCGTGCTTTATGTTAATTTTGTGATAAATAGTTGTTAATTGTATTAACTGTATTTCCATCAATAAATTAGAAATAGTATTGAATTGGAACTGCGCTAAAAAGTGGTTCCACGCAAACTGGGATCAAGTGAGCGGGGCAACAAATTGCTATCAACACGCTGATCATGGGATTAGTTGGGATTTCCGTTTAACATTATCTTACTAAATAAATGACATTAATGAGAGATAATTAAGAAACAAACGTCAGAAAGTTTAAGTTGGATACTTAATGTGGCTAAGGAAAAATTACAAACTTTTTGTACCTGCTTTGTGAAAATACGATGTTTTTTCTCATTTTTTTTTTAAATAACTGTGATTACTATATACACTGACAATTGATACGCTGTCTTTTTAGGTGACATTCGCTTGAAATCTTTCTGGGTAATCGAAGAAGATTGCATAAAGTGAAGAGTTTTGTTGCAAGCGAATTTCGCCTTAGTGAAATATCACTTAAGCTGCTCTGTTAAATATACATGCCACATTTCACACACTAAGTCAAAATAACTATTGTAAAGAAGGAATGATGACTCAAGGTTTTTTTTAATAATTTCTTATTGTCTGTAGTTCTTTTATATGTATTGTTGTTATTAAGATAAAAAATAAGTTAAAACATCTAGCCAATTTGAATATTACTAGAGGAAAAAATAAAAATTTAATCGAAAAATCTAGCCGATTTGTTTGTTGCTACAGGAATAATTAATCGATATCCTCTGCCAAAAAGTTTAGTTACATGATTGAATTTTCCAGTAATTAATTACTTTTTTTAATAACAAGCGGACCCGTCTAATGTTGCCCTCACTAATAAAAATATTAAATATCTTAGAATTCGACACCTATCGGATTCAGTTATGTATTTAAACCATTCAGAGAACCACATGAATAGGGATGTTGACGGGTTAAATATTTGAAATTCTATGTAGTAGTCAGGCAGTTAGACTAACAAAAATAATTAACAATTATTTTTACTTTCATCAATCAAACTAAAAATGACAAAGATAAATTGCGTAAAAGTTTGGATGTCGGAGCTCGTGACGTCACTTCTAAGTAAAATTTGTACCAAAACGTGACGTCATGCAACATTTGAAATATTAAATATCTTAGAATTCGACACCTATCGGATTCAGTTATGTATTTAAACCATTCAGAGAACCACATGAATAGGGATGTTGACGGGTTAAATATTTGAAATTCTATGTAGTAGTCAGGCAGTTAGACTAACAAAAATAATTAACAATTATTTTTACTTTTATCAATCAAACTAAAAATGACAAAGATAAATTGCGTAAAAGTTTGGATGTCGGAGCTCGTGACGTCACTTCTAAGTAAAATTTGTACCAAAACGTGACGTCATGCAACATTTGAAATATTAAATATCTTAGAATTCGACACCTATCGGATTCAGTTATGTATTTAAACCATTCAGAGAACCACATGAATAGGGATGTTGACGGGTTAAATATTTGAAATTCTATGTAGTAGTCAGGCAGTTAGACTAACAAAAATAATTAACAATTATTTTTACTTTTATCAATCAAACTAAAAATGACAAAGATAAATTGCGTAAAAGTTTGGATGTCGGAGCTCGTGACGTCACTTCTAAGTAAAATTTGTACCAAAACGTGACGTCATGCAACATTTCAAATCAATCTAAATATCTGTAATGTTTTGATTGTGTGAATAGAGAAAAAACTTGTGTTCAATAAATACTTTTTGATAATCCACCTCATAGACAAATAATAAAAAGTTAGTCACATCTTTCAAATTCAAAAAGTCAATGAATTTTGGACTTAGCGGCTGTCATAAAATTGAAAATACAATTCGTTCTAAAAACGGATACTTCGGGATCATGAGCGCATATAAATATTATGTTTTTCAGTGCAGATGAAAGAACTATGTGTACATAATTGATAGTTCATAAGTTTTATGTTAGAGGTGTACTGTACTGTGCGACGTACCAAGTAGTTAATTATTGTAATATATTTTACCAATTTTGTTGAATGTAATTATGAATAAAGGGGATTTTTAACAGAAGTTGAAATTTTTCATTTTATAAATTTTACCATCTTTCCTTCAAATTCATCAGTGAAAGAAAACGAGTTGTTTATATATATATACCTATATAGAAAAGTATTATATTTTGCGAAATCATGTTTAGTGACATTGAATAATATTCAACAAGCTACATGTAAATTTGAAATGGGGAATGGATATTCCTGTACCCCTATGCTGTGTAAGTGGATGATTTCTGCTAGCGGTTGAGAAAATATTTTAGTTTTCCTAATATTTAGTAATGGTTTTTAATTTACAAATCTATAATATAGATAAGTTTGTAGAGAAACTATTCAGGATTGATTTAAGACGTAAATGAAGCCTGGACATATGTACAGTAGAATTCGAATAATAACAGGAAAATCGTCAGGAAAACTTTTTGATTTTCTGAAGAAAAAACAATAGAACACCGTTCATAATTTTATTTTAAAATTCACAAATCTATTTCATATCAGGTAAGAGATATCTATACGGAACATAACGAAAACAAATATGACATTTACAATGAAACATAACAAACAAAATTATATATAAAAAAACATGGCTCGCTTATTAGGAACTGGGAATATGTACAAAAATAATTACAAATCTCTTAAAAAATCAAAATAAGCCTAATTATGTCATGATTTTCCAAACTTAAAACTGAATTTGGCCCTTTATTCCCAGTCGCCTCTAAGAGAGGCAATTGGGAATAAAAAATCCCAGTCGCCACTAGTGGCAATTCCCGGCTGGATTTTAGGTTTAGTGAATCATAACACAAATTAGGCCTTTTGTCAACAGAAATATGTGTTAAAATACTCATTAATATGGTGTTGAAATGTCAACTCAAAGCAATATGCACTCTATGCCAAGGCTATTAGATAGACTGCATGCAGGCTACAAAAATAGCAGTTGAAATGCAATAGACAGTTAAATATAAATCGACACTCAATAATTAATCAACCAAATTATATAAAACAGCTTCTTTGCAGTCAACAGTACCCTTAGCTTGACAATGACATTTCGCATTCGCAAACTATTCGAATTCGGTATTAGTTGTTGCTAGTGGCACAGTACAACTATTATCGAATTCGAATAGTTAAATTCGATCTATTTTATACGTCAAATAATTATGTACTGATCATTAGTGCTCGTTACGTCCGTTGTGGCGTTTCTGTTCAAGTTTCCATACTTTTGACAATGACATTACGCACTCGCAAACTATTCGAATTCGATTTTGATTCGTGCTAAGGGTACTGTACCCTTACCACGAACCAATATTTAATTCGAATAGCGACCTCAATACGCGTCATAAATATGTCAAGAAGTTTTGTATGGATGATTTTTAATTAACGTTACATCCGTTGTAGCGCTGTTCAAATTTCATTACAAAACTTCTTGATATTTGACGCGTATCGACATCGAAATCAATTGTCCGAATTATTTGTAAAATATTGGTTCGTGCTAAGGGTACAGAACTGCACAATAACTGCAAGGCCGCGCAGCAGTATTAGCAGGAAAGTTGCCGTGCAGTCAAATGCAACCAGTCTGTTATGACCATTAAGGTTGAAAATCCTTTAAAGTACAATATTTTTTATTAAACTGAACACCCAAGACAACTACATACTGTTTTAGACACTAATGGCTATAATTAATAATAACAAAGAAGACAATTTTATACGAAGTTACACACTTCTACATTGTACTCTTTACTCATACTGGGTGCTCAAGTAGTTTTGATGCTTAGCCTGTATCGCACTAGATTTTGACAGATCATTACATTACAAATAAACCTTTTAGCGAAGACACAAAGTTTGAATTGCCGTTTAAAACAAAACTTGGAAGGTCGTTATAACATTATTACTCTTTGATTATTTACACGCCTAGATGCCGTAGTAACTGCACGGAAGCTTCCCAAAAATATCTACTACATATGGTAGATAAGCTCGTCGCCATACACGCACACATTGGCTGCTTTCAAACAATCTCACATTGTAGACACGCACATATTGCGCGCAACATAAGCTGTTTTCTTTGCGTGGTTTATTTAGATTGCTATAGCAATCGTAATTCATTCAGTTTATGCACACATGCATACGCAGGTATACTAGGCGTGCATATAATCAAAGTTATAACAGTAGTAATAAGTAGAAGAATGAGAATTCTTAAAATGCGAGCTTGGAATGGTGCTTAGGAATAAATATTTGTACTTATTATGTAAGTGTAAGCATTTTGCATTTCTTTTTGTTAGTTTGTGTACTTTAATGAGGAACTACAACTACCTATAATAATATACTTTAAGACTGACCCGAAAGATTTGTCGTGTGAAGGATGTCACTAACACTCTGACATAATGACAACATTTATATCTCAAAACAAGAATTAAAGCAAAGAAATAGTTTAAATTCCACTCATATAGTCATATAACTAAGTATCTTATTTTAACATATAGACCAGAAAAGAGACAAATATACGATGCTTTGAACAGCGTGCGTATAGCTATATAAACGTCAAATTTACATACATATATTTATATATATCGTTCAACCAACTTATCCTAAAATAATAAAAATATCATATATATATCTTGATATATATGCCCTTTATACGCCTTCTGGATACCTTGGTTACCATTACGATACCCAATTAAAAAGCGATCTAATGTCAAATACAACTTGCCAATACGCCACTAATACTTTTTGGTTGGGTAATACGTATAGTCTATGCCGAAGAGTATGCTCAAATGTCATTGCGTTAGTTCTTTGCTTCAGTTCTTGTTCTGAGATTTATATAAATAGACATAAGAGATATTTTCACATATTATTATGGAAATTTACATCCAAAACACATAGATGTGCAAATTCATAAGTTACATTGTAACATGGTAACATTACTTTAGCAATTTAATAAAACCTTCATTATATTTATGTAAGGCTTGATTTTACAATCTCTGGATAAAATTTATTCGTCCAATAACATTATTTATTACACAGGCCAAATGAAAACGAATTTTTCATTTTCTTTCTCTATCCTTCTTTTTCAGAGGCTTAATTGTGCTTAAAGCACAATAGGGTATTAGACAAGTTTTAGAAAACGATCTAAGTTATTTACTAATGTTTCTACAGTCCATAAAAAGTAATAATTTATTTGGGAGATAAATTTTATCCGGCTATTAAAAAATCAATCTGAAATTGAACAAATAGCGGGCCAGGCTTCATCTGCTAACAATTTTTGTATAAACGCTATTATATATCAATATACAGACTATACAGAGGTACATGAATCTAGCTATATGCAATTTTGAACTTTAAAAACTTAAAGAACAACAACGTTCTACGTTCGAACGAAATGTACACACAGTCATGTGTATCCTACGAATAAGTAGCGAATGACGTATGGAATGTGTGATAATAAAATCTAATATATTATACTTTATTGAGGCAACAACATACAGTTGTTTGGATAAGGCAGTCATACACTTTTGGGTTATTTTCGATTGCTCTTGCCCCAGATATAGCTTATACTGTTTCGCTCACTCATCAAAATTAAATTCAAGCTATTGTCGCCTTTGTCGACAGACCGATCTTATTCGAATTTCATTCAATTCTACACATCACGTCGAATACGATTACGTCAAATGGAGAATTATATTAGTGTAAGATTGCACAATCAATGTACTAGACTCATAAAAAAAACGAGCGAGCCTTACAGTAGTCGCGTATGATGTGTAACATTTAAAACCTCACCTTATATTATATAAAAGATCTAAAACCTACTACATAAGGAATAAGCCATTTGAACATTATGTTCTAAAATCAAATCAAATAGCGCGCGCTTTCGCGACTTCCTGTTACACTTTTCAGTCCCATTTCACGAAATCACTCCCAAAAATCGCAGGAATGCGAGAGGAAAGATGTTACACATCAACAAAGCAATTAGTTGAAGCCGATATATATCGATAGTGGTATCTCAGTCTAATAAGTTTTCTCTGTACTATTCACTCCCTAGATGACTAATTATACGGAAGGAGTCTCAACATGATTAAAGTAATGTTTACTGTTGGGTCTTGGGTATAATATATGTATATAATTTTATTGCAGGATAAGACAAGAACTATCTTCATTCGCTACTATATCTTTCAGCAGTGCAAGTAAGCTTACCGTACACATTCAATGTCATAATGGTAGATACATTTGCATTGAGAATATACGTACTGACAAATAATAAAAAGACGTTGTTAATGTCAAATTGCATCCACCATCATGGATTTGTCTGTAGTCTAAAGCAGATTACACTGTCACTTAAAGGCTCTAATCGCTTGCACGCGAAATCAAAACTACAAAGAGTTTTATTGCAAAATCGAGATCACGTTTGCGCAATTAAGACCTGAAGTGACTGAGTATAAATTTCCGTCATTGTACACATTTTATTATTAAATTATCAATAATCCTTACATCTAAGGTGAGGTAACATTTGTATACTTGGAACTTAACAATTAAAACTTTAAATATATCGTCTCTCGCGTGTATTATATCTGGAAGTAATAAGTTTAAGTACTCATACGCTCTCACTTTATGTAGTAATATCATAATTATTATTCTCGCTTTATAACACCTCAATAAACTCGGTCAAACAAAGGTCTTCTAACTTTTTAAGTTAGACACGACGATTTTCAACTTTATCTCACAAAAAATATGATAATTCTAAACACAGATATCATACAAGCGGGAGCTTAAATGCGATGAGATGACACATAAATTCAACGCAAAGCGCACTGGTCTACATATCATAACAACTAAAAATCTATGCGCTTGCGGAAATTTAAGAATTCTATCGTTACCGAATTAAAATTTGGGAAAAGAAAGTCAAAGTGTGGTAGGTAGTAGGTAGGTAAGTAGTCGATGGTAGATATAAAGAAGAAAATTGCTTGTACTCGATAACGGTAATCTATAGAGTGTACCTTATATTTTGAGATTTAGTTCACGCGAATATAGTCTTATGTGGCTTTACCACTTAAGACTAATTCGCACATTTTCATTTATTGTTAAATAGAGTGTGCATGAAAATAGACTCAAATGTTATGTTTAAAAGTCAATTTCTAAAGGGTTCTACTAGATTGCACAACTGATAAACTATTATTAACAGACTTAGAAAAGAAAAGAGATGAAAAATTTTTATCACTTTAAATTCCGAAAATATTATAATAGTTTTGGATAAATTCGTTATTCAGAGCTTTTTTTTAATTATGCAACTGTGTAATACAGTTTTAGAACATAAATATAAAAATAAATCTATCACATGCATCTTCCGTAGAATCTAACAGCTGTAAGATCGACATCAAATTAAGCGTAACATTTTAAAGGAATCCTTTTTGTGACATCTCAATAGTTTGAACTACAAAATAGTTTCAATGTATCGATGTAATGCCATATTACCCGTATACGTTTTATTTATCTGAGGATTTAAAAAACGTTCTAAAATTTGAATTTAAAGTGTTCCATATTTCAAACTGCATCACTAAACTTGATGCCGATAGTACTACATCAAGTTCTTTACAGTAAGTACATGATTTTTTGATACCACATAGTACTAAGTGAAAGAAAAAATAAATATAATTGTCAATTCGAGCTGATTACTTTCATTGTACAGACAATATTGTGAATCAACGTTGTTCATGATACCCTATCTCCATCATATAAGCTTACCAAACACAGTTTTGTGGTTGATTGGAAAACAACAATGGTTGCCTAACTAATAAACACCATGAAGAGCCAACTTTACTGGAAATAGTTTTTAATATAAATGTACTTCTGCAAGCTCAGCGAAACAAGCAACACGCGGCTTAAAAGAAATCGTTTAAGCAGGTAAAAATCTGCTATATACTGTAACCACTCGGCTATTGTTTCAATTCACAGGCTGTTACCAAACATCATTCGATCGTCGTACAGACTCAATCTGTTGCTCTCACTCGCTCTGCCTTTCTGCAATGCCCTGTCTCTTCTAGCCCTTCTCACAGCTACAGGCAAATCTCCAGGCGTCTTAACGCGTCCCGCGGGATTCTGCAAATTCAAATCGCCAGACGACGAGAAAATCTCCGAAACCTGTTCCAAAGACCTCTGTCTCTTTATCGAAAGACTTTTCAAAAACGGCTTCGGCGTTATCTCCTCCGGCTCCCCTAAGAATTTCACGTCTGCAGTGTCAATCTCTCCGTTCAAAGCTGCCAAATAAACCGGATTGTCGCCGCTATAACCCAAGTTTTCTTTATCGTTGGAATAGCTGAATTCGTTGTCGAAATTGGTGTACTTATTTTGGAATTTGTTGAAGCCGAAATCTGTAACTTGGCTCGCTTCCTTCAAAACGTCGTTTTGGAATTTCTTCTTGTCGATTTCCTTGGGGATCGCTTGCATGGTGATTTTCGAGCCTCCGTTTTCCGACAAAAGCATTAGATGCTCGTCTTCGCTGCTAGAACATTCCGAGTTCATGTCGAATGGGCTGTCAAATGCGTCTGTCTGGTTGTTTATATACTGTAGTTCCAAATTGATGCTTGCTCGTGAAGATCGCCCGCTGTTATGGATGATTTTGTTATCGCAGCTCAGTCTTTTCTTAACAGTCGAATCTTCGGACTCGGAATGGTTTTTGAAAATGCTCTGCGAAGAAACCGAGCCTTTGAATTTGTTAATACTATCGTCGCTGCTTTTATTTGTTTTGCTATGGGATTCCGCGTCAGGCTGTGCTTTCGGTACAATCACGGCGAATATTTGACTCTGATTTTTGGCATCTTCATTAGGTAACTCTCTGAAGCCGAAAACGTTGTTCTCTCTGTTCATTTCTGATTCTATCATCATCGTCGGAGAAAGAGTCCTATTGGGAGGCGATAAGGTGCAAGGTCCTTCGATATTATAAATGCTGTCCTGATTCAAGACTAGGTTGGAGGGTCTATCGAAGTTGTTGCACTTTTCTATAATGGACGTTTTCGTTTTGCCGTTTTGCGTGGAGGTCTCCGGCATCAGTTTCACTTCGGTGTCCATTTTCTTGTTTAGTCTTTCGAAGAATTTCCTTATACCCCATTTGGGTTTTTCTACTTTCACCTCTTGGAGGAGATTAGTTCTTTTGGGGCCTCTGTCATTGTGGGAAGTGACGTCATTAGGGATATATTCTAAAGGTCTTTGGTAGGACCTTATTTCGTTCAGCCTATCTGAACTTTCGGGTACTATAACTCTATGCGTGCGGGCCACAGACAAACAGTTCTCTTCTACCCTCTGTGGTTTAACTTCTGGAGTAGTGATGTCTTTGAGACTTTTGTGTATGAGTTGTACTGTGTGTGTTTGGATGTTTGTGTTCGTGTTTCGTTCAATACACGCGTTTCGACCGAACTGAGGCCGGGTTAATAAAGGAGCCGTAGGATCACTCGTCTGTCCGCTGGTACAATTAGAGTTTTTATCCATCTCAGGAATGTTTGTGTCTGAGAAAAGAATATTTGCCATTTTAACTCGAAGTTCATGTTGTAAACTGGGTATAAAACTAATTGTTGACAAGCTATAATTAAATTGCAAAATAAAACAAATTTTACTAACACAAAGTAAAATCTGCAATAAAAATATAACATGAGAAAAAGAACGAAAAAAATTATACGAATGATCGAATGATACGCCGAAGTTGCCAACAAAACATTTAAGATATTATTTTTGAAACATTCTATATCTTCATTAAAAATCGAAAAGTGGCATTTGAATGAAATATTGAATGATGTGAACATATGAATGAACGAAGTATTGAATGATATCACTTACCAGGCGGGTGCGGATGCAGTTTGTTGTCGTGAATGACGGGTCCTTGCGCTTGTAGCATTTGCTTCAATTCAGCCATTCGTTCTTCCACACAGACCGCCGTTAATCTAATAAAAGAGACAATTAATGGATGAAATTTAATTTTTAATTGCAAAGTCCGTCAGTCAGTCTATCAAAAAATGGACACTTATTTTTTTCTTTTGTCAATCAACCTAAAAATGACAAAGATAAAGTGCGTCAGAATTTAGTAGTAACGCAACGAGCGTGACGTCACTTTTAAGTAGTTTTTTTAAAGACGTGACGTCATGTGAATATCTATGTAATGTTTTGATTATGTGAATAAAGAAAAAATACGTGTCCCATACCCGATAGACAAAGAAAAACAGTTTTCGTCATTCATACATGTAATTGATTTTATGGACTGCATTTCTGGCGATTATGATCTACTAGCTGTGCCCCGCGGTTTTACCCGCAGTTTATTAGGGATATTTTCCCGCAGTAAAACGTAGCCTATGTGTTAATCCAGGGTGTCAGCTAACTCCATAACAAATTTTATTAAAATCGCTCCAGCCGTTTAGACGTGAAGAAGTAACAAACATACACACTCACACACTCACAAACTTTCGCCTTTATAATATTAGTGTGATGAATTTGGCTGTAAATTTTTGTCTGCTGCGTTTTCATTCATACTTATATTATAAATGCGTATGTCTGTCTGTCTGTTACTCCTCACGCTTAAGCCACTAAACAGATTTGAATTATGAAGTTTGGTATAGGGATAGTGTCGAGACTCACACCATCCCTATACCAAATTTCATTAAAATCTGTTCAGCGGTTTAAGCGTGAGAGGTAACATACAGCCAGACACACTTACGCCAAAGGCCATAGGATACTTTTTATCCTAGAAATCATACTTTAAAAAGGTGAAAATGGGGGTGCAATTTCGTATTGAAAAAAACCTTTTTACGCAAACGAAGTCGCTGGCACTCATTATTAATATTATATTACTATTTTGTTCTCATTTAATTTTATTTCCACACCTAAACTTTGGAGCAAAAACGGTACTATGTAAAAAACCGGGCAAGTGCGAGTCGGACTCCGTCCAAGAGGGTTCCGTCCAAATTTATAGGTACGCAACATAAACGGCCGTATATTTCCCCAGTTAACTTATTCTTGTTAAGTGATTTTTTATTTTTTAAAGGGACTATAGACTGTGAGTTTATGGTTAAATTTCAACTCGTTACCGCCACGCGTTCCCGAGATAAAGGGCTTTGACAGACAGGCGGACAATTATGTGAAACTAAAAGGGGTTTTTTTTTTGGAGTAATACTAACATTCTTCAGACTTTTGTCCAATTCTTTTAATATCATTTTTGTTTTATTTCAGTTATGGTATTATTTGTTTAATTAGTTTATTTTAATGGTAACATTTGTAGGTTTTGTTTCGTTCCATTACAATTATTATTAATTTTACTGTGAACGATAAAAATTTGAATTTTATTTTAGAATTTAACATGATTTTTTGTGTTATTTGAGTGAGTTTGTCCCGTTTTTATCCTTTGCTTACGGAACCCTAAGAATCAGTAAGAACACTCACCTGGCCTCAGCGTCATGATCCCAGCACTCTTCGCAAGTATCGGAGGCTATTTTCAAAGCCCTCGCTTCAGGCACTGGGCCTTTAGGCAGTGGCGGTCGAACTTTGTTGCGGGAAACCAGTGTCTATGTACAGGACATAAGAGAGTTGGTAAAAAAAAAGAAAAAAAAAGACTTAGGCTGTTTTTCCTCCAGAGATGTGCTATGCTACGTTGCACTGTATGCGTTTCATATCCACCAATCAAATTCATTGGTCCACATAGCATAGTACTGGTGGAAACGGGTTTAACTAAGCTATGTTTTTTATATGGAAGGATGCGTGCTATGATGGCCGCGAGTTGTGTAGCTATATCGAGAAAAGAGTGCTTGCGTTGGTCACAGACATGCTATCGTGGAAGCAAAAAGTTATTTTGTATCTCGCAATGTGCGAAGAAAAGCTCATGCATGGCACATCTTACTCGCCCCGCTACATAGCTTAGCATCAGTGGAAACGCTCAAGTAGTTTCGTAGCTTAGCTGACACATCCTCGTAGCACAGCTGCAGAGCACACCTCTGGTGGAAAAGCAGCCTCAGTATTTAAAGACTGACAGAGTGAGGGAAAGAGATATCATGCCCTTACGACAATCCTACAAGGTAGAAAGAGGCGCAACATGATGCACCTTTGGGCCAATTAAAATAATAGCCAACTTCGTTCTATTAAGCCGTACTGTGATAAAGTTTATAACGAAATTCTGTGAAACTAAGAAAACAAGGAGGGCTATCGCGTATAAATCCGCCGCTAGAGGCACTAGCGTGAGGTCTTCGAAATGTCAAATGTTATTACTTGTGGGTTGACTACGCGGGTTTATTTCTAATTAAAATAATATTGTGAATATTTGGTAATAACTCGGCTTAATTATGGCAAATATGAGTAACGTGGCAATGAATGTCAGATATTTAAAAGTAGAGCTAAAAAAATTATTATGTCCATTTTTTCCAAAATATGATTTAAAGTTTACATTTAAATCATTTCACTTTCACTTTTAAACTTTAGATTTCACGTGCGCACAAGTTTTAGAATACGATCTCACGTTATTGACTAATGTTTAAAACTACACTATCACTCTAAACAAACACCGATCAAAAACGGACACGTTTATGTATTTATATGACACTTTATTGACCAAAAATACACAAGAATGGTAAAAATGGCGGAGTTAATGCTAATAGCATTCTCACCCAGTCAACCTTTGGCATAAAAGAAAACCACGAGCAATTTAATTTTTGGAACACTTGCGATAGGTACTCTGTCTATCTCCACGTCGTTTATGGTAAATATTCAAAGCATATAGAACAGGGAAAAATGTTTCTGCTTAACGGACAGACAAGGCTCGGACGGATTATCTAAAGAACTTAAATTATTTAAAGAACTCACCTGCATTTGCTGCAACTTCGGTCTGGCGGGCAGCAAGTGTCCATACGGTTGCATATAAGCAGGCACCGGTCCTATATAAGCCCCGTTGCATCTCCATAGAGCTTCCCATAGAACCAGTCCTAGTGCGAATACGTCTACGGCGCACAAAGCCGCCCGCGCACCGCTCAGATCTAACGCGCCTTCTAAAGCTTCCGGTGATAAGTAGCGAAGAGTACCCGCCTATAGGACAATACTATGCAATTAGAAAATAATAGTAAATATTTTTCTATATGAGCACCGCTACACCTCTAAAGGTGCTGTCCGACGGCGTGTTATTACAAAATGATAGTGAACATTTCACTCACTCAGAAAGTCAGAGCATAACAAATTGTTCTTATTCCAACCCCCCGCAAAGTGGCAGAATGATTTCAGTAGCATTGTGTTACTATGGCTACTCCCTTCCTGGCCGCGTCGGTCGTGTTGTTCTATGGACATATAGGACCAATTGGAAAATATTGTCGAATCCATACAAATATTATAAATGCGAAAGCGTGTCTGCCTGTGTGTGTTACCTCTTCACGCTTAAACCGCTGAACCGATTTAGTTTAAATTTGGTATACGGATAGTTTGACACCTGGGAAAGGATATAGGAAAGTTACTATCCTAGAATTCATTCTTTAAAGGGGTGAAAAAAAATGTGACAGTGTATCTGTCTTTCTCTTTTCCCCCTTCACTCTTAAAAAGCAGATCCGATATTGAAGAATTTATTTGCTACAGATATAGCTTGAATGCCAGGAAAGGACATGGGGTAGTTTTTACCCTAGAAATCATCCATTAAGGGGGTGTAAAGGAGTTTGAAGTTTGTTCCCATAGAACCAGTCCTAGTGCGAATACGTATACGGCGCACAAGGCCGCCCGCGCGCCGCTCAGATCTAACGCGCCTTCTAAAGCTTCCGGTGATAAGTAGCGAAGAGTACCCGCCTATAGGACAATATTATCCAATTAGAAAATAATAGTGAATATTTCTTGATATTTTTCTATATGAGCACCGCTACACCTCTGAAGCTTCAGATGATAAGTAACTAGGAGTTCCGGCAAATAGGACCAACTGGAAAATATTGTCGAATCCATACAAATATTATAAATGCGAATGTGTGTCTGCCTGCGTGTGTTGAGTTGTGTGAAGAGGTCACGCTTAAACAGCTGAACCGATTTAGTTTAAATTTGGTATACAGATAGTTTGACACCCGGGAAAGGATATAGGATAGTTACTATCCTAGAATTCATCCTCCAAAGGGGTGAAAAAAAAATCCACGCGGACCAGGCAGCAAACGGGACTCGAATCAGCACCCTTTGCTATCCGGGCGGATGTACTGACCATTATGCTACCGCGGCCCTAATGGCCGTGTCGAATTTTCTCTAGCATTTCTTAGGCTACAAGGCAGCGCCATCTCTTCACATTGTAGGTAACCCACAATGAATCTTAAATTAATACCTTTACAAGTATTAAACATTTGAAAGAAGAAAAAGCAATTATACTTATATTTTATTTTTTAATACATTTAACTGCTAGATATTTAAATCTAAATAAAATTTATTTCAGTTACTCAAGAGTGATGTCGATTCTGGCATGATTCTCTAAACTTAAAACTAAATTTAACATCAGTCTCTCCTTTTCATTCTGTATAGAAAATGACAAGGATACACTGTTGTCAAATTTATATTTAGGTTTAGAGAATCATGCGAGAATCGACATCAATATACCTATGATTAAAATGTACCATTATTATCTGGAAATGTCGTGTTTATAGTTGGTAAACCTTTTAAATAAATAAATTACCTCCGTGATCCTGCTGGGCTGTTTCTCCCTTCTAGCATGTAGCACTTGTGCTAGACCCAAGTCTGCTAGTCTAGCTTGGCCAGTGCTAGTAATTAGCACGTTGTTGCTATTAACATCGCGATGAACTATACAAGGCTTGTTGCCCACTGTAAGAAAGATTAATATTATACTTAATGAAATACGCTTAAAGGGTACAAAATGCCTCTTTTTGTATTTTTTTTGACGGTTCGCATCCTTTTCAGGCTGCATTCTGACGACGCGAAACACACGCACACACTTCTAATAATTAAACAATATCTGCTTAAGCCATAATTAAATTACATGCTGAGTTCGTCTAATAAGTGGTTAAAGTCCTATATTAGTGAATATAAAATTGTATAAAACTATTGTATTGATAAAGTACCTAACTGTTAGTGATCCAATAAAAAGAGAAAATAAATATAAAAAGAAATATAATACAATTTAGTAAAATCATTGATTTTAACCACCGAATTAGAAATGATATGGAAGCATAACCTACCTTCTAACAAAGGCCGCTAAAATATGGTTCTAAGCGCACACAACTTCAATACTAACGCGACACGCACACATACAAAACAAAACACTTTAACAAATCAAATATTTGCAAATGGATTCTGCTATCCATTCATTGGGTAAGATAATGTTAATCAGAAATCTCAACCAATCCCATGACCGGCGTGTTGATGTTGATTGCAGTTTTTTCACCCCGCCCACTTCACAGTTTGCCTGGAACCACTTTTTAGCGCAGTTCGTACTCTATATTACTTCTAAGGCACCTCGCGCACTAGACGGCCACGATCACGGCCAGTGGCCGCAACGACCAGATCAACTATAGAAACCCTACAAAGGTCACGCACTTGGCCGCACGACAAACTTTAGTGAAACCTGTAGATATGTAAAAACGATTCGGTCCAGCAGTTTGCGGCACGATCCCTTCCCCTCGCATCGCTTTGCTATTCACCTCTCGCTCAACAGTTGTAATGATACTTGTCAAAATAACTGAAGGTAACTAACTAACCACCTTAACATTACGTTAATATGATATTGGTGTCGATTCTGGCACGATTCTCTCAATCTAAACTTAAAGTTGAGAACAGTGTTTCCTTGTCATTCTCTATACATTTAGTTTTAAGTTTAGAGAATCACGCCAGAATCGACACCATTGAATCTTGTACTTAGCACACCGGACAAATTCCTGCGATTTATGGCGTGCTTTTTAATTTTTATTTTTGATATGAAATAGAAAAAGTTAATCTGGTCATTGCGGCCATTGGTCGTGGTCGTGGCCGTACAGTGCGCGAGATACCTAAGTTGATTGTAACTCACCTGGCGCATGTAGGTGAGCTAAGGCTGCGGCTATACCGTGAGCTATGGCGGCGTATTCGCGCCACGCGAGCGGAGTTCTTTGCAAACGATCGCGCAACGTTTCCAAGCATAGTTCTAGTACTACGAGACGCGAGCGACCGCAGTCGGTGAGCGATGCGCGAGTGTCGCTCCCTATAAATAATATACTATATATTCATATATATAGATATATATGTGTGTGTATTTATGTATTTAGTACCTATGTATAAATTTTATATGTGTATGTCCCCTATTCATAAGTATTTAACGTATATATTTATACACACTGACTGCATTTTCAATGTGCTTTCCTACAATGGGCCTGCTAGTCGAACTTTCGGATTGAAATAAGCTGTGCCCTTGTACTACTATCTTATTTTGTAATTTCTGTCTATTTATATTTGTGTGTACAAAATGTATGAATAAATAAATACTCATCAGCCTATTAATGTCCCCCCTAGAACACAGAAATAGGTTAGATGGTGATCATAGACCGTTCGTACGGGAACCGATGTTACCGACTAACCCCCATTACACTTTCTCTTAATAGATAATAGCCAATCAAACGACACGACATCAAAAAATCGAACCAATCGGTGCTCACACCTGAAAGCAACGACGCAATAAGAACCAGGTTTTGGTCAAGTTATGAGCATTTGCTCTCACGTAACTGTGGCGAGCCTGCCCCGCCCACAAGGTCCTTCTAACCTTTTTGTTTTCTAACATTCCCACTGCTGGGTCACAGGCTTTCCCTATGGATGGAATAGGGAGATTGGACCGTGACCTACCACGCGGGCCCAGTGCGGATCAGTGGGTGCTAACGACTGCAGATGCAGCCGGGACCAACGGCTTAACGTGCCTTCCGAAGCCCAAAGGAGATCAAGATAGTAAGTTTTTGGTCAACGGGACAGCCAGATTAACCTGTCTTCCTAAGCACGGAGGAGCTCCAGATAGTTAATTACTGGTCACCCATCCAATGACCGACCACTGCGAAAGTTGCTAAAATTCAACAATCGATAATATAAGAAATGGAAGCCATACTGGAAATAATCAATTTTCATTAAAAAAGTGTGCGACAGGCAAAGAGATGAAACGGTCCATCACACTAATATTATAAAGGTGAAAGTTTGTGAGTGTGTATGTTTGTTACTTCGTCACGTCTAAACGGCTGGAGCGATTTTAATAAAATTTGGTATGGAGTTAGCTGACACACTGGATTAATACATAAGCTACGTTTTACTGCTGGAAAATATCCCTAATAAACCGCGGGGCCCCGCTAGTATTTCATATATGTAGGTAGGTGCACTTGCTACTTACAAATAATAGGTATCGACTGTTTTTTGTCTCTTTCTAGCGAGTTGTCAGTATGTAGGTAAACGATAACGAGAAAATGATTCATTATCTATACAGTATTCTATCTTCATACAAACGGTCGGAAAGCGTGTCATACCTTCTCCACTCGAGTTCGCGCGGCACCCGGTGGGCAACCAGTCGCGAATGCGCCGCAGCGACGACCGAATGGTGTGAATTGTTTTTTATGCAGTTAAACGTGCGATTTGTATTGTAAATATTTGCTTGAATTAAGTAGATACCTACATAATTTAATATGGCAAAGAGCAATAGTCGATATTGTGCTGTCTTAATATATTTTTTTAATAAGTTTAAGAAGAAAAACATATCAATTGTAAAGTAGCTGCAGGTATATATAACCAAATTAAAGATATTCCCTTTTCTGCTCCTTGCCAATGTTTCCCTAAAGTATTTTTAATTAAACTTTTTTATACGAATGCGTATTTATTATACTACTATAAATTATAAAGCTAAAATTATAAAACTTTTCGTACGTCTCTGTCGAGGCGTAAATATTTTTCTGTCTCAAATCTATATTTTTTTTATCAAATATTACCTAAAAATAACATGTATTTTATTGAACACTTCCTAATTCATTCACAACATTTTTTTACATATAAAATAAAATATTTACTATCACAAAACTAGAAAGAAACTCAATTATGTAGATAAAATTAAAATACCGAAGGCGGGCAGTCCTACCGCGTGTTTGCGCCCCGCTCGGCCGTAGGCAGTTATTTCAAGGACAGGGCCAAATCTGTATAGATAATATTACCGTGATAATACTTTTAAAATCATAGAAAAACATCAAAACATTACTCACCATAATACTTCAGTATGTTGGGGTGTGACAGGTGAGGTAGTGCGTATATACCAGCCTCCTTCTGCCACGCGTTAGCGTTCGAATACAGTTTCACAGCGACGGGAATCGAACCTAGACTGCCTCTCCATACTGAACCGAACTTCCCTTGACCTGTATGGAGAGAAGAAATGGAGATTTCTGAAGTGATAACTTCTTATGAGAGGGTAAACAGCTGCGTTACGTAACGCGTTATGGCACCAGTCTGTCTGGCTTCCCTTGGAGCCCAAGGAGATAGACGTTACAGCCCGCCGAGGTACCATAAATTTTTTGTTCTCTCGGAATAGTAAAATCCCTTCTAATATTCACATTAAATACAGATGCCAACAATTGGTACTTTATTTTTCATACTGTCAAATAGCCATTTGACGGTTTTCTTCCGCAGTGTGTAATCTAATAAAGCAGTACGTACGTAACTACGCATCACACTAATCACACTAATAATATAAAGGCGAAAGTTTGTGAGTGTGTATGTTTGTTACTTCTTCACGTCTAAACGGCTGGAGCGATTTTAATAAAATTAAGCATGGAGTTAGCTGACTACCTGGATTAACATATAGGCTACCTTTTACGGCGGGAAAATATCCCTAATAAACCGCGGGTAACACCGCGGGGCACAGCTAGTGATGAATATATTAAAATGTTTGCTCCATGACATGTCATTATGATTACTGTAACAAGCTAAATAACATACTCACCTATATGTTCTATTAAGGTCAGATTGTCGACGCAAAGTAGACCGGTGGCTAAAGCATCTGGTCCCGTGCCCATAACATCACCTCGAAAAAGAAACATATAACGATGAAGAAAATTAACGCAGTAGGCTCCCAATTCGAAGGAACATGTAATAGAGTAAGATCCCAAAGCCGCCAGACCTAATTAATTTTCTGATGATAAAAATATGAATGATTGAATACTCTTACTGTGTACAATTAACAGTATTAATATCAAATTGTTAACAATATTCTCTACAACATACGTCGGAATCAGTCCTCAGACTGTAAGTAAAGTGAGTAAATTTCTTTATCAGCCCTCGGACTGTAAGAAAAGTGAATATTTTTTTTATAAGTCCACGGACTGTAAGTAAAGTGAGTAAATTTTTTACGTAGCTATCACACCTGATACCTGAAAATTGGTCTACAGCACATGTTAGCGAGTATGTATACGTTCAGTACACACCAATAACACTCGATCATCCACAGTTTTACCATCAGAAAATAAGTAGTCTAGTTGTAAGTCTGGCAGCCTTGGGATCATGGACTATTAAGTTAAAACTTAAAAAATAAACAGATACCTTTGATTGCATGAACTGATTCTTACTTTAAACTACAATAAATGTTAAAAATTTCAAAATGCAATTTAATATAACTTTAATAAAAAGACATATCAACTCGGAAAGGCATCCTCACCATATCAACCGTTCAGTATTCTTTGTATGATATTCCCTACTGCAACGTACTCTACTCGGAATCGTAACGATCGCCTTACGAAGAAACAGAAGCTTGTCCCGAGAAGAAGCGGTTAAGTTACGATTCCGAACAGTAGGGTGTTTCATACAAAGAATACTTAACGAATGATAAATGGTGAGTCAAAGCATTGACTTTTATTTTCCATTTTTCTAACTACTTGCCAACTTTATGGCTGTTTGTAGAGTTTTAGATGTCGTGGGAGGACTAACATTGCTTGTCAATATAGTGCGGTATCATCTGCGAAAGTAGCTGTGGTGGCATCAGGTGCTATGGGAAGGTCAGAAGTCAACAGCGTGTATAGGCTCGGACCTAGAACAGAGCCTTGTGGCACTCCAGCTATTATACTATCACGCTCTTCTTTTACTTGAGAGGTAAAAGAAGAGAGTGATACATCAGAATTGAAAGGTATGATTCCATTAGTAGATAATCTTTGATTTTGCAAAGGAGTTCCCTTGAGCCATACTTTGTCAAAGGCTTGGTGTATATCAAGAAAGTCGGCTTAAAGTTATTTGAATAATATTACTGACTTTTCTCCGCTTGTCCGGGCAGACTCATCTCCTGTTTGTCGGGCACACTCCTATTGCAGTAGAGTTTCCTTATGAGTGCCACGGTGACAAGTATAGCGGCTATGGCTAGAATAACTGAGGCTGCCACGTGGGAGTAGTTGGGGCCGGGCTGTACTGTGTTCATCGTGGATTCGGCTTTGATAGTCACTGTCTCCTCCCTTAGTGACACTGAAATGAAATTATACTTTATTAAAATTTACTTATTCAAAGCTTATTCATGACATCTTTTAGATGATGAGAAGAATGGGCGCAAGAAACTCATCAGCATTTAACAGAAGTAGCAACATTTACATAAAATAATGTCTCTACCAATACACAGTCCACTCGTGTATTTTGATTGCTGTGACATACAGTATAAATACAAATAGTATTACTGTTGAGTAGGATTTGTTTGGAGTTTGCTATCAACAGGGCTAATCCTGGCAAGATTATCCAAGCTTAGGCGCCTTACTCAGCGGGTCGGTGCGGGCTCATTTCTTTTACGTTTCTGTTCCGAATTTGTCGACATTATTTACCCAGTGCATGTTATTAAATGAGAGCTTCCTCACTGAGTAGTTTCGGTACAGATTCTTTACTGAACGGATGCACCAGCTTTCTGTGCCGAGTGCTACCGAGGGCCGCCGAGTACGAACGAACCGTTTGACTCACCCGTCCCATTACTCCAACAAATAAAACGAAACTAATCCGCAGCAAAACCGAGCCGGTTAAGAAGTCGTTCTCGGTAAAGATTCTATACACATTCGGTACAGAAACGTAAACGAAACTAGCCCGCATCAACCCGGGGAGGAAGGAGACTTACATTAGTCAATAGCCTCTCCCTTCCATTCTCTAATAAGAATAAGGGCATACTAATCTCAAAGGATATGGTTCAAAAGTGGTCGTCGTTTTTCTAATTCCGTTTCAAGATTCCGAAAGCTTGTCTTGTGTAATATATTTTAGAAATATTTATATTTTTTATCTATCTCCGATTAGTTTTTAATTGATTATGAAAATTGATCAATTTTGTAAGAATGCTGGCCACTCTGTCATAACTAACGTCATATTTTTAGCATGTAGCAGTTTATTACCGTCAATATTAAGCGGTTGATCCCGGCTGCATCTGGTCATGTCATTAGCATCCATCAATACGCGCAGAGACCGCATGGTGATATTGTCCAAAGGCAAACATATGCACTAATTTATTATATTTGTATCTTTATGCATTGCTAGATGTTTTAGTCTAAAGAAAATTTTACTAGAAAGTAATTCCTCCTGATAAAATATAATGAACAACAATTGCTATTTCTTCTTTAAAATGTTTAATACTAGTACAGGTATGTCGTTTGCAATAGTGGGTCACCTACAATGCGAAGTGATGGCGCTGCTTTGCAGCCTAAGAAACACTAGAAGGGATTCAACACGGCTATTAAAGTGGCGGTAGCATAATTGGTCTGTGCATTCGCCCGGATAGCGAGTTCGAGTCTCGTCAGCTGCCTAGACTGCGTGGATTTTTTTTATATACAAGCAGTCCGCGACTTACGTCGGTTCGATTTACGTCGTTTCAAGTTACGTCGAACAATCTTTTGACACTATTCCTCAAGCATACGTGAATTGTTTCGATTTCCGGCATAGGAGAATTCACTTGTTGTGAGGTCAATGTCCGTGGGGTGGGCGTTCGTGGGAATGTCTCGACTTACGTCGTTTCTCTTTACGTCGCGTATTTCGAAAACCTAGCATGCCGTAAGTTTGAGGACTGCCTGTACATTAATTTGTTGTATAAATGTATTTACTTACAGAAGTCTGCATTGCAATAGGACTTAGTACAGCAACAAAACTTGGTGCCTTGCATTTGGTCGATTGGCGTACACTTGTCGCAAGTGTTTTGACCGTTGCGCTGGGAGGAATGCCAGCATCCTAGTTTTTGAAAAAAAAATGCAGAAAGATAAAAAATCATTGCAATTTTCTCTTTATTTTTTACTAGCGCCGCCCGCGACTTCGTACGCGTGGGGTTAATAATAAATAAAGGTTCACTGCTAGTTCCCGTAGGTGATAGCGTGATAATATGTAGCCTATATGCAGACCCGACTTCTAAATAATATTCGAGCCAAATTTGAAGTAAATCCATGCAGTACTTTTTGAGTTTATCCCGGACATACATACAGAAAAACAGACAAAAATTCTAACTATATTTTTGGCTTCGGTATCGATTTAAGATCACACCCCAAGTATTCTTCTAAAAAAATATTCAATGTACAGTTTTGACTCTCCTACCATTTTATTATCTACTGCAATAATAGGCTTTAGGCTTGATGGATGATGGAGTTAATTAAATGAATTTAGTGCATCAGTTATATTAACAAAAAATAATGAACTTCTTTTTTTCTTTTGTCAATCAACCAAAAAATTACAAAGATAAAGCGCATCAAAGTTCGGGAGTAACCATTTGTGACGTCACTTCTATGTAAAAATTGTATCAAGATGTGACATCATTCGACATTTTACATCAATGTGTTTGTGTAATGTTTTGATTATGTGAATAAAGAAAACATACATGTCCTATACTTTTTGATAACCTGATGCGAGAAGAAAAAAAGTTAGTTATCATCCCTAGTATTTGTGATATCCTGAATCCAGCTTGTAGGAACAATTGTCGTCAGGAGCCATAAAAGGATGGTGGTGATTTCTTTTAGCCTAGTGATAGATAACATAAAAGGGGAAGTGTTATCACATGAAAAATGAAACTGACTTTAATATGTTGCTAATATGAATGTAATTAAAAAAAACTTACGCCTACCAAATCTCTTCTTAATCTATTTTAGGAGGATTTTAGGGGAGTAAAAATTTCAATTATCTTTATACAGAATTGTATAAATGAATAGAAAGAGAGACTTGTAATGATACATATTGGAAAATATCCTTTTAAACTATAGCAAATGACTATGGATAGTATACTAAAGGCATAATGCAATAAATAGATAAGAAGAGCAAAATGGAACCAGTGGACTTTAACGAGGATACAACTTTAATTTTTCTTATGTACGTTGAATATAAGTGACATGTTTTTTTAATCTTACCTTGTCCCAGAATTGTAATGTTTCCGTCTTGGTGTCGATGCCAGAGAGTATAGCATGTTGCTTTAGAATCTGTACAGTTTTCCACTGAGGCAATCTCACCATTTGGGAGGTGTGTTTCCGTTATAGTTCCAATATCTAAAAGAAACAATTTAAATACTCAAAAATGTTTTATCAAAAAATCAACTCATAGATAATATGATTACTGCCAATGTGATATATATATATATATATAGTTCTTGTCAAACCAATATCTGCTATGTGCACTTTTTGGAGATCTCAATACTCCACAGTTCTACTAACCAATTTTCGAATACAATTCTGCTATGCGAATCTTTAGTATTATAACATATTAAATATTAACTGCTGTGTTAAAGTTATACATATTTTTTTAAGTTTTATTTTTTTGCATATAGCACATTGGTTTGTCAATAACAATATATCACTTCTAGAAGCCTGTGAGAGTCACAGGAGACTATTGCGCTATTGGAAGGAGCTGGGCTGGTTGTGCTAGCTATCCCAATCAATCAAAGCTATGGAGTCTTTGTGCAGAAACGGAAGTAACAAGTAACTCCCTTCCTTGTCGCTCTAAGTTTAAACCTAACAAACATGAGGATTATTTTTTCTATTTTAGAAGTTTATAATTAACTGTAAAAAAAAGTTTAACACACCATGGTTGTTGTTTTCTACCATCATTTGGGCATTCTTTTCATCTTCGTAAGACGGGGTCACACTGATAGATACTTTTTCAACTTTATAAAAACATTGTATGGTAGGGATGGCTGTTGCAACATTTTTATCTTTAGTTAAGAGGTTTGTATTCAATCCATTTTTCACATTACTCGATCCTTTGCCTGATGTACTGGAGGCGATGGCCTTTGCCTCATGAGATCCAAGTTCCGAATCGACAAACAGTGCCAAAGGCTTAGTTTCCAAACTTTGAAAGTCGTTAATAACACGGACATTCCTTTTCCTAATTCTTGGAATCATTTTGTGACTTTGCACCTCATGGTTAGAGATAAAATTTGAATATGGAATGCTCCTTTTCCTTCTATTATTCATTGGCTGTACAGGCCATGGGTACTGTGCTTTTTCTTGATCACCTTTTTCTGACCAATACGATTGAGCATCAACACTTCTTTTGCTCTTTGGAAAATCATTAGAGGGCCAATACAGTTCATGTAGGTTGTTCCATTGTATAGTTCTTCTATGGTGATATTTAGTGAAAGTTCTCACATAATGAGATGGCTTAGGGTGATGTATGCTGTTTCTGTGGTCTTGCGATTCATGTGGTCGCGATGTTAGAACTTTAGCAGTGAATATAAACAAAAATAACACTATACACTTTAGCAGAGGTGTAACTCTCTGAGTTAATATGCCTTCCATCATCGTGAAAGTTTTTGCGGTATCTCTCTACATGTTTTCTTACAAAGACGTGTATGTTTACTGCATGAACATTATCGCAAACCTAGCAACGAAACCAATGCAGATTTTATTGATTTTACGTGCGGTCCTGTCCTTCTTAATGCAGGTAGGTCTTTATTTGGACGTTTATTTCACAGCAGTTAGTGCCAAGAATACGAATATGTATTCTAAAACATGGAAATAGTTAATACATCTACAATATATTATTATGTTTCACTATCAATGTTTCTTTAAAAATAATAAAAACACTGTCACGTAAACACTTTTCTAAATAACTTTATTGTAGAAAAGATAGCGGAGCAGAAGCACAGTTAAACACATATATTTATTAAATTCGCACATGTTAATAAATTGGAACAGAAAATCAATAATATGTTGACAAAGTTGACAAACATAGATAAATTCTATTTTCGAATTCAGTTTCCGACATTTTAACACCGTTCCGTTCTCTCGAGTTAAATCCTACGTACAATCGTAGATATGCATAATGTAGTTTAAGTAAAGTTTTATCAATGCTACATTTTTAGGAAATATTGAACTAATCCATACTAATTACTACATAATACTATAAAAGCGAGACTGTGCCTGTCTGTTACCACTTTACGCTTCAATCGCTGTATCTATGCGATGAAATGATTTTAATATAGATGTTTGATAAACGTATTCCATGCTTAAATTTTCTACCCACTCTATGTTCAAGTCAGTCAGCTGTCAACCAACTGTCAAACTAATGTCAAACATTGTAGCGACAGAAATTGTACCTTGTTCCCCGCTGTTCCGAAAATATTTAACAGAAACTGTCTAGATACAGTAGTGCTGTGTAATTTCTATTTTATATTAGATTTCTTTTCATATCTAGAATCTAAAGCTGTATTTAAAATGGCTTTCGCAGCGGCAAACGAAGAAATTGACGAGGTAAAGGAGCGGGCTCATTTCATCGCAGTCGTGAACGCTTTTAGATATTATAAGTAAGTAAATCTTGGTTTTTATCTATTACACAATGCTATATATAGAACCTAGTTTGATCTTAATAAGCGTGATAACATTTTGATTCCATTTGATAATTTACGTTTAAAGCGGCATAGCAACAGGTCTTTGTTCGCTGTGTATTTACCGATACAATTAACCTATTTAGATGCAACAATAGGCTTTGTTTATTCCTTACTCACGTGCGCTTTGCTAGTCCCCAATTTTCTTTGCTATAAGGGTGTTTTTGCTGTTGTTTCTGTCAACAAATTGTCATATAGCAATTTCTGTACAATTATTATCTACATCTAGTGGGTGATGGAAACAGGAAAAAAATTCTATAGCCACTTACATCCACTATGTTATTTTGATCGAATAATCGCTCTTAAATGCAGTGAAGAATTATGACTTGGTTTTTTGGGACAAGTTAAGAATGAATTCAAATAAAATAATTAATTGTGAGGTTTTATAATTTATAAGGTGAGTCAAGGTTAATTATCTTTAACTAACATTTGATGTGTGTGTTAATTAGAGGTAAGGGATATACTGTACTTCCAGGGCCCAAAACTATGAACTTCACAGTTTTGTTGGTTGTAATTTCTCATTTTTGTTGTTAAAAAGGTTTCTGTTAACCACATTATTAAAAAAATTGTCACACTTATGCACTGGTAGTTTTTTAGAAAAAAATATTGAAAATTTTTACTTTTCTTATGAAGTGGTGATACTTCATACTAGGTTAGGTTAGGTTAGTGTTGTGACCATAATGCGCGAGCCGAGCGAGCAAAGCGAGCGTGCCGCGGCAGCGGCCGGCGAAGCGCCAGAAAAAAAAACTGTAAAAAACACCTTTTCTACAAAAAAAAACAAGTATCACCTTTTGGGCCCTGGAAGTACAGTTTTACCGAGGTAAGTTATACAGCCTCTGTTAAATACTTGAAAAAAAAATATACACCTGAAGCTAAATAAAATATATTTTAATGTGCTACTCCCTTAAATCTGGGCTGCTGTTTTGCAACCCATGGTTTCATCTCTATTGTGGGCCTCTGCCCTGTCTTAATTCTGGCCCTGTATAAATGGTATTTTTATCATGCCATATTTAAGACGTCCCAACAAGTATTATTACATTGTAACAATACTACAAAATACTGTACTGACCTATTATAGTAATTTACCCCAGTATTTTTCAATTATAATTATTTTGGTGGTACCATTTTAACTGGTTTCAGAAATAAATTTATAATCAAAAGTAGGTTAGGTCAAACAACTCAGTTAGCAACTCCCGGGCCCAGCAACTACACTTTTACCAAACATTGATACGATGATATATGTAACATAGTTTACATCAAAATGCAGCACTTAATCAGAGTTGGGTAGAACTTGATAAGAATTCAAAACATCCATTATCATGTATTGTTACTATTATGTATGCATGCATGATGTAGTCTGACTAAGATTTTATTTTAAGAGCAATCACTACCTAGATGGAGCGGTTTACTGATCATCAGTTACAATATTAATGGGGTGTTTATTTGAAATTGTAGAAACTAAATGAAATCACCTTAGGCTTGTTACATACATAGAACAACCACAAAACATGGACGGGTGCTAATTTGTATAAAAATTGCGTGAGCGTAGTAAAACACTCCGTTGGAACGAAATTAAAAATATATTCAACTTACCGTTACGCACTCAGCCCAGTGCTGACGCTCCCGGTCCATCGCACACGCTCCTGGTCCATCGCACACGCTCCTGGTCCATCGCACACGCACCCGGTCCGTCACTCACCAAACAAGTCTACAACAACCGCCGTCAGTGTTCGCCTAACTCGTTGCCCATCTAGCCATTAGCCCAGCTGCTTACTTAGCTGTCTAGCTTGTTGTGTACCTAGCGACCTCGCTAGGTTGTGACGGTTAATTTTCTCGTAGTTGAATTCACACAGACCACATTTTAATGTGATACCAACCACACCGCAGCCACGTTGCAACCACAACGCAAATACCAAAACAGCGACAGCATGAACTAGCGGCCGGCCATGCAACAACATCCACATTTTGTAGGTTCCACAACGCAACCGCAAGAAGCCGCGGCGACACTTATCATTATCACCAACTTATTAATGTACCCACTTCTGGGACACAGACCTTCCCTATGGATGGAATAACGAGATTTCAATGGCCTATCTCACGATTAGGCCATGATCCACCACACAGGCGCGGTGCGAATTGATGAATGCTAACGACTCCAGATGTAGCCGGAACCAACGGCTTAACGTGCCTTCCGAAGTACGGAAGCTCAAGATAAGAAATTTTTGGTCACTCATTCAATGGCAGACCACTGCGAACCTCCTTAACTTCAACGATCGCAGTGGAACGCGGGTACCAATTGCGCCATCGAGCTTTACAACGAAAGTTCACGCGTGCGATGCGTAAGCGGTAAAAGTTACACATAAGTCATGTATGACGGAATTGTTTCCCTATAAAATAGTCAGCATTTGTCTATCTTTTAAGGGGGCCCTTTATAACCTCAAATTAATGGGGTTCAAACCGCAGGGCACTTCTAGTACTGTATATTTCCATATTTTTTTTCGGTAAATCGGAATTCCTAATTTTGCAGGTAACTAATATGTTATTGATACTAAAGCAATACACTTTGCACTGTTTGTTTAAATTGTCATTTTATCTGTTTACTCAAAATGCGCTATTTGATCTCTCGATTCCAGTACCTGATACAAAGATGCTCATAGTACAAAGATAATTGCATCAATGTATGAATAAATATTGCATAATTTGTTGCACGTGTTTCTGAGTCATAAATAGACTGTGTTCCAATTTGCTCTTTAAGTATATGTCAGTTAAAGTTGCTTTTATTTATTAAAGAAGTTGTTTGTGTAGTTATTGTTTGTTTTTCATCGACATATCGACACGTGTAAAGTTACTTAGGTTACGTTTAGATGTAGAGGATGGCCAGGGTAATTGACAACCACCCATACATTGCACGGCTGCACGTGTTTGGGAAGAAGTCTAACGCTCTCTCTAAGTCTCGAAGGGGATCGGAAGGTCCTTCCTACAGGGGGTGGGAGGCCCGGGGACTCGGAAACGGTTTCTCAGGTACCACTCCCGGGTTTTTAGTGTGTAGGCCCCTGGGAACTAATCGGACGAAGTTCCGTTTGCATGTATCCTCGGAGGAGAGTCCTACATAACCTCGCCGCTCGCTAGGCGGCGTAATATACGTCACGCATTTGCCCCACGGTATACAAAAGGCTACGTTTAGACGGCGAATATACGATATAATTTTATCACGTATAAACTGTAAAACATTTCTATTCTATTTGATGAGCAAGAGACTTTCCGATACAAGGGTATAGTTTGCGTCTGATAATGGTACAATTTCATCTGAGCCATTGATGTTTCAAGTCCTAAGTTCATTCGGTACAAGACGACTTTTGGTTGAGGACATTCAATAAAATTGTTTTGTGACGTGTCGTACGTCCTCGTTTACAACTTCGAATGATTTAGACCACGTTCACACGGCGTTATATTCCCCGTTTACCGTATACGACATTTTACCAAATGTAGCAGTGCCAATATAAAAACAAAAAAACTATTATTGTTCACACATAGATTATGCGGGAAAATCCCGTGTTCGTTTCCGTATGCCGTCCGAAGTTGTCACCGAGAACGCCGCATCTCGAAGCGATTTTATCGAATACTGCATGACGTATGTGCCACATGAACATAAGTGCCACTGCATGAAGATGAAGAATACGGAGATTCAGGTTGGCGCGCATTTTATAAATGCATGTATAACGTACCGTTAAAATCGCATGGAAATGATCGTCATGTGCGAACGACTGTCTCATAAACGGGAAAATCGTATACGTGATAAAACCGTATCATATATTCTTCTGAACATAGCCTGATGGTGTAAGTCATATAGGTGCGTTTCTTACGAGACAGGAGGACACTGGTTGAGGGCATATTGTATAAAATCATTTCGTGACATGGTTAGACGTTTATGGTTTCCCTGTAAAAAATATTATCGACTCCTTAGTTTTCATTTAAAGAGTTTTTTTTTAAATGTAAGTCTTTTCTTTCAGACTATGCAGTCTCGACCGTATTCACAAGTCCGAGAAGATAATTGCTACCTTACCGCTCACGCACCAGAGGCGGCTCGAGAAGTACAAGTCGTACATGAGCAAACTAAAGAAGTGTCTCGACGTGAACAACTCCGTGGTGCACATGATCATCAAAGATGTCGACACAATGTTCGAGAACGTCGATCACAGCAATGCAATGGATCTGAATACTAATGGCACGGAGACTATCGGTTGCAATTACAACAATTGCGCGATCACGTCGCAGAAACAGCACAAGATGCAACATGATGTTGAGAAGGTTTGAATCTTTGATTATATTCACCCTGATAACATGATTCACCCTAAATACCATATAAGGGGACATCCATAAAGTAAGTCACACGTTAAGAGGGAGGGAGAGGGTCGATGAAGTGTGACATTGTGTGACAAGGGGTAGGAGGGGTTCTAAGTTTCTTGACGTCACATTTCAAAATCTTTTGAACTATTACACAGGTCTGCAACAAAAATGCTGTCTGGATGTTTTCAACTGATTTATATGTATTAAGGTTAATCTAAAAACAGAAAAATATGTACTCAGAAAATTCCAGAACGTCAGGTTATTTTGTAAAACGCAAAAAATATTATGAAAATGGTATTGGGCTAACTTGAAGGCATAAAAAACAAGTAAAATTTTTTTTTGATTACTGTTTTTCAATGTGTACGGGCCATCAACTAACTTTGCCTTCTTTTGAGTGTCTTTTGACTTTTCAACATATATTTTATGTTGTAACCTGAAAGTGCGCGCTCCAATAGTATAAAAAGTTACAGGGTAGAATTACTCGTATGTGTTAACTCAACATTGTTTTATAGATGTATCAGCTATCTTCGCGTCTGGACTTCACCTTCACTTAACATCAGGTGGGGTGGAGTCATTTGTCGGATCTATCTATAAAAAAAAACAAAAAGATCTTGGTTCAATATAGTAGTGCAATGAAGGCTATACGGAAGTGTGTGAATTCGTATGACAGTTGCTGTTATATTTGTGATATACTTAATATCAAAATTTTCAGACCTATTAGGGGCAATGTTAAAAAAGGTATTTTCATTCGACCAGATATTAGATGGCTTATGGCTGATCCACAATTCATCAAAACCATGACGGATCCTCAAAGAGAAGGGTGGATTGGCCTTTAAATAGGCCATAGAGAAAATTTTCGGCAGTAAAAGAGACCCCAAAATGTTAAAAGCATTTCAAGCTTTATGCTGCATAATAAGTTTTAAAGAACATTTTCATTTCACTCCCACCTCGACTACTTTCCAAATACAAGGTGAATCATTTCACCAAGATGTTAAGGAGATAAATAGATACCAGGGATGATGGAGCGTCTCAATGAAAGCAGATTGCTGTTAAACGCTTCAGAGAGATCTTTCAGATGCTTCCTACAAGCAAAAATGTACCAAAAGGAATCTCATTGGGAAAAACAAATGTGTTTAGTGCTTACTAACGAATGTAGTTTAGATAAAAAAATAAGTTTTGTTACGTAATTATAATAAAAAAAATGTCTTTTAAATTTTATTTTAAGATGATAACTTGTTTAAAATCCACAAAAAGAACAAAATGAAATTGGTAATTTTGGGATTCAGCACACCCAAAAACATAAGAATTACGCAAAAGAACCAAAACAGCTTTCAATTTTTTTTTGCAGACTTGTATGTGGTTTATCTGTATGGGGTTTAATTTGTTTTTTGTTTGGCTTATTGTCAGAACTAATTTCGGTACTGCTGTTTTAATTGAATATTTTCTAGATGCAAAATCAAACTCGTATTAGAGACTCAATAATGTGACCAACTGTGACAAGGATGGACGAAATTTGTATACTCATAGAGTACATTACACAAATTTCGCCGGACGGCAGTCCCGTCTGCTGCCACGTCCTTGATGGCCATGTCTAATTTCTTCTAATATTATTTAAGCTGTAAGGCAGCGCCATCTCTTCGCATTGTTGGTAACCCCAATGTCTAGCAGTGAGGAGCTCGATGGCGCAAGTGGTTCGCGCGTTCGGTTGCGATCGTTGAAATTAAGCAACTTTCGCAGTGGTCAGTCATTGGATGGGTGACCAAAAATTACTATCTCGAGCTCCTCCGTGCTTCGGAAGGCACGTTAAGCCGTTGGTCCCGGCTGCATCTGCAGTCGTTAACACCCACCAATCCGCACTGGGCCCGCGTGGTGGATCATGGCCCAATTTCCCTATTCCATCCATAGGGAAGGCCTGTGCCCCAGCAGTGGGGACATTAATAGGCTGATGATGATGATGGTCTAGCAGTAAAACACTTAAAAAAAAAAAAAAACCAGATGTCAACGTTTAAGGGGGTGAAAGTTTATAAATGGGAAATAAATTACCCACCCACTTTTTATGTTATAAACACACAGGTGCAGTCCGTATTGAAGAACATAGTTCGCGATTGGAGCGAACTGGGAGCGCCTGAAAGAGAGCAGTGTTACAAGCCAATATTAGACGAGATCGCAGAACGATTCCCACAGGACGAGTTCAAGTAAGTCTCTGATCTTCTATCAAGTACAAATTGTGCGGCACGCCGGGCTGTCGCTCTAGCTGACAGTTACCGACTCGCACTTGGTGGTGGAGGGTTAACGTAGGAGTCTTTTTTATTTATTTATTTAATTCTAGGCCAAAATCCACAGCATTTTCTTTTTTACAATATAGTTTACCTTAATGCAAATTACGGATTTTCATTTTTTAGTTACAGCATAACAGTTTGGAAAACCCTCTATCAAACAAGGGCGAGATGTGTGCAAGGCGCGCGCGCCATTATACCTGTGTGTGTGGTGTGTTTATATATATATGCATGCATATATATTACCAATCAACCAACAGCCCTAAAAGTTGTTTTTTAAAAGATATTTTACTTTTGCAAGCAAATATGTCAACAGCCGTGTAATTTTTATTTTTATTGTAAGTACTTTGCTATCGAAAAACAACTGGGTTTTGTGCATAGTTGGTGCGACATGTAGGAATTGCGAAAAAGAAAGATGATCTATGTCTGGGTGTGTAGAGTGTTAAAAGTGAAGAGGCAAGCTCAGTGCAGTCTATAGTCCCATTGTAAACGTCGTAAAGAAATGTCATATCGAGTCTTGACGGTGTTGTGTGGACTGTAGCTTGCGAACGAAATTAAACTCCCAAGATTCAGTATCGAAGAAAATCGGTGGGCGCTGGTAATGGATGGCCGGCGAGGAGTCTTTAGGTTCCAGAGAGAACCGCTGGTTGTTTGTAGTGATAAGGCGGTTGTCTCGTACACAGATAAATCGAAATATCTTTGAATAAAGCCCATATGTACCCATCATTTGCCCATTAAAGGTCTTACAGCGCAATATGTATTAAATGGAGAGACGTGCATTAGGAGAGACCTATGTCCAGCAGTGGACGAGCATGGGTCGATGATGATGATGATGATGTATTAAATATTCTTGATTTGTGTAACTATGTGTTACATAATAAAATAATAAATAAATATTTCCAACACTCATACCAATTAGCCTAGCCCAAAAGTAAGCACTATAAGGCTTGTGTTATGGTATGCTAGGCAAGGGCGGATCCAGGGGGGGGGGGGGTCATGGGGCATGACCCCCCCCTGGGCTGGGTACAGATGGACCAAACCCAGGGGGATTTTATTTAAGTACTTTCAATATTTAATATACCACGACTGTATGACCCCCCCCCTGGCGCCAAAGCTGCCTATATGACCCCCCCCCTGGCGCCAAAGCTGGATCCGCCCTTGATGCTAGGGTAACGGATAGAATACATACCGTACATAAATACGTTTATTTATATAGAAATACATATTAAATATACATGACTGGAGTACAAATGCTCGTATTCATCACACAAACATATGCCTCCACCGGGATTCGAACCCGGGACCTCTCGAGTCGGCAACACCATGAAACCCGGCGCACCAACCACTCGACCACGGAGGTCGTCTAATATAATAATTGTATTGGTAACGACATATTTGTATGTCTCTACTTTATAAAAACGATGAGTAGTTTATTTAGCTTTTTTTTCTTGTCTTGTTAAAGATGTTCTGAACAGGCTTTCAAAAACTTCAATAAACTTTATTTTTATTTCTAATATTTCTAAAACACACACCAAGTAAGGGTTAAACTTAAGGATTCTAGGGTAACAACTATACAAGTAACTTATCTAGAAATACGTAAAAACATTATGGTACAAATGTACAATAATGCTCATCAAAGAAACATTTACCCCACCTAGATTCTAACCCTCTGTTTAGGCTACACCTAGAAAACCGTACATACCACTCTCACTCGTTGCTTAATCATGCAGTAAGATATTCGTGTAGCAATTTGAAATCACAAAAACAATCCGTGTTCCTTTAAATGAGACTTGAAAAAGCACACTTTTTGACTCCACCATCATTTAACTTCTCGTTGGGGTGGTGACACTTTCTCGGACGTAGATCTATAGATAGTCCTATTATTATTTTTAATATTTCTATTGTAATACTAGCTGTCCCAGCGAACTTCGTACCGCCATAAAAAAATTGGGGTTTGGTGGTAGAAGGGTGAAAATTTAGGGTTTATGTATTTTTGTATTTACCATAAAAAAAAATCAAAAATTTTGTCCAAAAAAAAATTTAGAAGTACCGTAAGTGAGAGTAACTTTAGCTCAGGCGGGTAACTTTGTCCCAAATCAGAAAAAATATTGAACTTGCCGCCCCATCAGTATCTCTTGGGTGACCGTAATAGTTCCAGTTGAAAATCACAGATAGCCATATAGGCGCGTAGTGTGGTGTTGTTTTACCGACATCGTTCCTGTATCAAGTTGTCATTGTAACGCGGGATTTTTTGTAACTGAAATAGTTCGCAAGTTCATGAGCAAACTTTCTCAAAACTGTGGCTTTCGGTAAGTTTACTTTTTTTTCTAAATTTAAAGTTATATTTTTTATTTAACTTAATTATTTTTGGGCAAAAACATCCATTTGTGTATTCAGTATGCTAATGGTGATCTGTTAAAAGGATTACTTAACCCCAACATGGCTTAAAATGAGAAAACTCAACGCGCTAAAGTAACCGTCTTTAAGGCCAACTTCGGCCCAAAATTAAAAAATCATATATTAACCCTTAAATATTATTTTTTCCTATTTTCTTAAGATTACTTTGTAACTTATACTTTAAACTTCACAATGGAAAGATATAAACGTGACATATTCATCACAAAGAGAAGCTACAATTTTATTGAAAAAAAGTGCACATTTTAGGTCAAAGTAACCCGCAGTTACTCGGCACCCAAAATTTTTTTTGGACAAAATTTTACGTTTAGGTGATGAATAATAGATATTGTCCGATTCTCAGACCTACTGAATATGCATATAAAATTTCACGAAAATCGCTCAAGCCGTTTCGGAGTAGTTCAATTACGCATACCGTTAGATTATAAAGGTACTCGTAAATAATCTCAGGAACTACTGGTCCGATAAAAAAAATGGATAGTGACGTATCGAGGAAGATTATATAACTTAATGCTACAACTAACAGGAGCGGAGCAAAAATGTTTTTTTTTGCAAAAATGGGAAAAAATATTCCATTTGTGAGAGTGCGCAAAAGTTACACGAAAATCATGTATGACGGCATTGTTCCCCTTTAAAAGTTCTATAAAAAAGTCCGCGCTAGCATATATGTCTATATTTTAAAGGTGACTCACTATAACCATTTTCTTTAAGTTAATGCAGGTGAAACCGCGGGGCACCTCTAGTAATTGATAAATGTCAATTGATTTGTTTCAGTGATCCGAGCCATGTTAAAATATTAGTCCCTGGCGCGGGACTTGGCAGATTGGCATGGGAGGTTGCCGCCAGAGGATACACGTGCCAAGGGAACGAGTTCTCACTATTCATGTTGTTTGCGAGCAACTTCATACTGAACAGGTGCCCTGAAGTGAGTCGCAATAATGTATTATAACATTGAACAAATCGATCTCTTTTCCACTTTCCTAATAATTCGCCTGAAATTGTTATAACTGCTAAGTAGCAGTTACAGCTACGTTCGTTGTGTTTTTGTTGGTGATTAAAGTTCTAGGGCTCCACGGGGTAGGGGATGGTGTCAAAGTCGGCAACGGCAAGAGTGATAGCTTTGTTATCGCAAGCGTCTATATGCTATGGTGGTCGATTACGATACGGCCGAGTCGGGCCATATGCTTTTTTGCCACCCTTTTAACATAACAAAATCTTGGATGAATCATCTTACTTTCTAGGGAACTATTAATATGAATTCAAAGATCCTTGAAATTTTATTTTCAACACATTTGCTCAAATAATGTATTTACGGAGGTTGTATGCATTGTCCGAATGTTCAAAATAACGGGCAAAGTTCAAAATTTCAATATACAACGGAGCGTGCTGTTAACATTTTTCCGCACGCTCCCATACATGGCGCCCCGTGCGTTTTCTTTACGGGTTTTCTTTATTTCGAACCTCTTTGGAAGCCCTTTTTCCTTTGTCTCACTTTAATACTAAAAAGAAAAAGAGGCAAAAGATTTCTAATTTTCACCACCCGCAAGTGGCGCCATTTTTTACCTGATATTGGCTAAACGCACAAATCGTGTATGCCGCAAAAAAGAAAAAAAGGAAGAACGTGGCGCTATTTGAAAATACGCGTCATTTTCTTATTGTAAAAAGTTTGCTTCATTACTTAAATTATGTACCTTGTATGTTTTCTTGTAAATGTATTGAATAACGTTGTATGACATTCATGCGGGATTGGTATTTACAAACTCGTAACTATGTTAAGCCCTCGTCTTGTCTACTCGTTTGTAATAACATACCGCACTAATATCATAAATAACTATTTCAACACATTTGCTCAAAAATTGCATTTACGGAGGTTGTACACAATGTTCGAAAGTTCAAATTACGGGCCATACAACGGAGCGTGCGGTGAAACGTTGTACCGCACGCACCCATACATGGCACCCTGCGTATCCTATATGTTTTTTTAAAAATTTCGGTCCTAACTCCTTGAAAGCGCTTTTAATTCATACCTTTGTCCCAATTTTATACTAAATAGTTCTAATTTTCAACACCGCATGTAGCGACATTAGGAAATGCGCGACATTTTCTTATTAAAAAAAATTGTTTGCTTCATTAGTTAAATTAGGTATAGGTACTGTTTTATCTTAAATGTATTGAAAATCGTTGTATGACATTTGTCCGGATTTGGTATTTACAAACTCGTAACTATGGTAAGCCCTCGACTTCGCCTCGGGTATGCATTCGTTTACTCGTTTTTAATACCGCACTTATATCATAAATAATTATTTTGTTGATCAACCTGTAAAAAGCGTTCTATACAGTAAGACTATCGTTGTTTAGGCGAACAAACACACGGTGCACCCTTGGATTCATCAATACGTGAACAATTTGTCGTGCGAGCATCAGCTGATGGCTGCATGTTTCCCCGACGTGAGGCCTTCGGGCGATCGGCCCAACCACAACTTCAGTATGACAGCGGGGGACTTCCTCAAGGTAATGTTATGGGACCATTGCTTTCTACAAGAATTATGTAATAAACCATTTTTTAACTAAATGAATTTCAACTATTAACAATTCGCATGTAATTGTTTCTAGTTGAAATTTATTTATCCATGCAGCAGCCGGAAATCGAACCAACCCACACCCTCCGCTATACGGGCGGATGCTCCGACCAATTATGCTACCGCCACTTAAATGGCCATGTCGAATTTCTTATTGTATATGTTAGGCTGCACGGCACCGCCATCTCTTCGCATTGTCGGTAACCCACAATGTCAAACGAAATACCTTTACAAGTATCAAACATTTGAAAGAAGAAATGGCATTTCTAGTTTATAATTTTTATTTAAGGCATTTAACTGCTTGATGTTTAAATCTAAATAAATTTGGAAAGGTTCGAGTCCCGTCTGTTGTTTGGACCGCGTGGAATTTTTTCTAGAAAATTTTTCTTAAGTCTCAGTCATGTAGCTGGGGCACAGGCCTTCCCTATGGATGGAATAGGGAGTTTGGGACATATCCCACCACGCGGGACCAGTGCGGATTGGTGGGTGCTAATGACTGCAAATGCAGCCGGGACCAACGGCTTAACGTGCCATCCGGAGCACGGCGGAGCTCGAGATAGTAAATAGTAAATAAAATTTTGGTTACCCATCCATTGACCGACCACTGCGAAAGTTGCTTAACTTCTACGATCACAGCCGAACGCGCTAACCACTTGCGCAATCGAGTTCCTCAAATACGCTTTAATTACAGTTTTGTCTATGGCAACAGGTTTACACAGAGGCGGACGAATGGGATTTAGTGGCGACATGCTTTTTCATAGACTGCGCACCCAACGTCATAGAGTTCGTAGAGAGGATATACGGAATACTTAGGCCTGGCGGTTACTGGGTCAATCTAGGACCGCTCCTTTATCATTACAGGTATTTATGAAACGAAAGGATAACCAGCATCATTTATTTTATTTTTACAATTTTTGGGAAAATTACAGCTAGTATCTCTTACTTGCTATTCTGTATGTGATATTTATGTTTAAGGCCAATTAATAGTAGTAATAATTATAAAAGTCGGCATGTAGTGCACATGATGCATTTTTAAGTATACTACACAGTCAGGTCATAAGTATTGTCTAAACTTTATTGTCATAAGAATCTATGTTTTGTTAAGTTCATTTTGGTATATAAATGGTTACATAATGAATCAACTTGTTTCAATTATATTATATTAAACATGTGACAGAATTTATGACCTGACTAGGTATATATATAAGGTATATATATACTTATTAGCAATTAAGAAACAGAAATGTACACAATGCATAGTTTAAGTACTTGGATAAAAAAAACTATTGGAAAAATACCAATATTATTGATAAAGATTATTGTTTTTTTTTTAAATGAATTCAAGCTTTCACAAAACAAATCACCATCTAACTGGCCTGATGAGTACTGGTTAAAAGTGTAAGGAGCTCTGATTGTGATTCATCAGCCTATTAATGACCCCACTGCTGGGGTACTTGCCTTCACTATGGATGGAATAGGGAGATAGGGCCGTGACCCACCACGCGGGCCCAGTGTGGATTAGTGAGTGTTATGACTGCAGATTCAGCCGGGACCGACGTCTTTACGTGCCTTCCGAGGAGGAGTAAGAGATAGTAAATTTTTGGTCACCCATCCAATGACCGACCACTGTGAAAGTTGCTTAACCTTAACGATCGCAGCCGAATCCGCTAACCACTAGCGCCATCGAGCTCCTCAAAAAAACAAAAATTGAAGCGAATCAAATTTTACTTATTAGAAAGTCATATTGAATCTTCGAAATTGTTTGTCCTACTATCCTTTAGTTATTTGTTTTTTATTAGATAATGCCCGCGACTTCGTCCGCGTTAAAGTTAGTTAGTATTTTTAATGATCCCATAGGGAATTAACATTTTTCATTGATAAAAAGTATCCATTGTCTCGATCCAGGCTATAGACTATGTGTGTGCCAAATATCATCAAAGTCCGTGCAGCCGTTTTTGCGTTAATTAGTAACAAACAAACAAACTTATAAACATTTATACTATCAGAAGGGTAGTATTAGCATTTGCCACTAGTGGATGTCAGTGACTTTGTTTAATCATACAATCAAGGGTTGAGATAAATCTTTGATAATAATACACGATAGGTAGAGCAATCCAATGAAACCCTCCAAAGAACTACCGTTAACGAAATACCGTGAAGTTAATAAGGTATCTATAGGCCGATTTCTTTTTCGATTTTTTCATTTTCTCCCTTTTCACGGAAGGCAAAGGGAACATTGATCATACAGCCTAGTCTTCGGTTTTATATATTTTTTCTTGGAGTGTTTGGCACGAAATATATTGAGTCAGCTTTCTCGATAACCTTCTGTGTGGAAGTCAACGCTACAATAAAGTTCTCATGTCCACTTGACCGGATTAGCGTATTTTTTATAGATTCCACTAATTCTTCAGTTGCGCAGATGGTTGTAATACAAAATCACACATAATTTTATTTCACAATGTCCACTATAATATAATTTAACAATATTTTTAATCCAGTCACCAATCGCACTTGATGAAATGCCGCCAAAAACTCAGACCGATTTTTAATTCGGTGAAATTCTAACAGCTGTCATTTATTGACACATGAGAAATCGTAAACCTTATCTGTGCCGACCTTTTTTTATAAGTTATTTTTAATGGTCTCGTTTTGGTGAAGAAAATCTTAACTTTCTATTTTACTCAACGCAAACTGGTTATTTCGTATCATGATTACTCCACTACGTTGACTTTGGCGGAATCTATTGTATTTACCCATAATAACTAAGTTCCAATCCAATGATTTATTTCAATAAATACAAATATAGCTTTTTGATTTCGCTTAAAACTTACACATATTACCTAGATTAAAGGACTGCTTTATCATTGGCAACACTTCTGTAATGTCCGAATTCCGTCGAATAAAAAAACGAAGTAAAAGCGTGTATATAATCAAAGTCTTAAATACTATGAAATAGGTATATATGCTAATTTTGTGATCGCGTCTTTGTTATAGTGATATGACAACGGAGAATAGCATAGAACCTCCATACGACATTCTGCTGGACATAATAAGGGACGTCGGCTTCGATATATTGGTGAGTCACGCGTCTGGGTGTTTATGCATCATATATTGTTTGTAGCTCTATAGGAGACTTTCGGTTTATGTCCAATTAATGGTAAAATTATTTAAAAAAAAACATCTAAAATTACTTATACTTGCTCAACAAATTCAATAGCAATTTGTGAAAATTTTAATTAAACTATTTTGAAAAAGCGAATCTGCGTATAAAGAAACGTTATTATTACCTACACGCAAATTGTCATTGACTGATAGATGACAGCTAATATCCCATAACACAAGCCTTACAATACTTACTTTAGGGCTAGGCTAATTGGCGTGAGTGTTGGAAAGATTTATTTATTTATTATAATAATTCAGGCTTCAACCCCATAGGAGCGGTCTTATCGGTCGATAATATCTGATGCGTTATTGCGATATCTGTTTTGGTACATTGTGTATGAAAACGGCAAAGGCAATAACGCATCCGATATTATTGGTCTCTAGTGTTGGTAGTTAATTTATGTATAAAGGCTTAATATTTTTTTATCGTGAACAATTACTTTCTAAGATTTGCACTTACAATCAAGAAACAAACCCTTGAGCTTTATTATTATTTAAAAAATAGCATATAAATTAAACAGGTATTAAACGGGTATAAATGCGTATTTAATACTGTTTACAGTTATATTTGATTTTATTTGATACTAGCTGTGCCCCGTGGTGTTGATATTTTACCGCAGTAAAACGTAGGCTATGTGTTAATCCAGGGTGTCAGCTAACTCCATACCAAATTTTATTAAAATCGCTCCTGCCGTTTAGACGTGAAGAAGTAACAACAAACATAATATTAGTGTGATTTTTGATGACACATCCTGAAAAGGACGCGAAACGGCAAAATTACTGCGAAAAGTATTAAAAACACATTTATACCTGTTTTATTGAATGAGTGATTTGATTGAATACTTAAGAAATAAAAAAATGTATATCTATTTATTTTCCTAACTCACAGAAAGAAGAGACTGGGGTCAAAACGAAATACGCGCAGAATCCCAATTCTATGATGCAACACGAATACAATTCTGTATTCTTCGTATGCAGGAAACCTTACTGCTAATCTCCGACCGTACCGTCTAATGAATAGAGTCTATTTTTGTCTATTTTATAATGTTTGATAATCTCGTACCGTATTTTGCCATCAGAGGCGCCACCTAGTTATGATCCAAATTGTTATTTAAATACTTTATTTGTGTTAGAGGTTATCTATCCATTAACCATGATATTTTTTAAGGACCACCTTTTCTTCCCTGGTAATATGTGGTGAGGTTTTAAACACAGAGAGTGTCCCATATCTAAAAACAAGTTGTATTTTTTTAGTATACAGTCTTAGAATAAAACAAAAAGGAAAGATACGGCACTCGCGGCTCAAAAACTGATCCGCTTAAATTGTGGTGCATGACCATAATTCGCTTAGTCACAATTGGACATTCAAACACGCTGCATGTGCACTCAAGATAACAATATTGCGTATATTCTGTGTTATGAAGATAAAACAATGCCTTCGGTGCTTTTATAAAGAACACAAATAGTTCAAAATCAAATAACAAATACCTCGGCAACACTTTTTATTCGTAAAACTGTAAAGACATTTTTTCTCAAAAATCACGGTTTGTCGTGAATTTTGTTTACATTATCGCCTTTTTGTTATCGAGAAAAGGACAACAATACGCTGCGTAGAAGCGTACAGTTCTGTCTCGCTCGCTCGATTGAATGTTTATATACAGAAGTGTGCGTGTGTGAGAGTTGCTTACTTATTTGAATCGGGTCATATTTTATTTGAAGCTAGTATGAGCGTACCGTATCTTGAATTTTTTGTTGTAATCTAAGTATGCAGTATATTAAAATTTTAAGAATATTTATCTTTAAATGGTTGCCTGGCAACAGTGAGTCAAAGATACTCGCCGCTATTTGTTTAAAAATCGTGCGTTCAACAAAAAATAAATACACGTGATATCTAATTATATCCCTATAAATTAAATAATATTACGTGCATTTTTTCCGACCAATTTTCGAGCCTTACATGACTAATGGACGATCCCTTAGTTGGTTTCTATAAAGTTTAGTGGCATTTTATATTGACGATAGATAGTGAAACGTATAAGATGATTTAGTGTGGATTTGCAATAGTTTCAATTCATTTGTAAACTGACGGATGGAAGGAGTTAATAATGAAAATTTTAATATTAAATTGTGAATGTCCTTTCACAATCTGTCGCCAGCCTACAATCTTACTGGATAGAATATATAATAACGGTACGATAAATTAAACAGTAATATAAAATTAAATATATTGTAACGCAATGTGACGTTACGTTGTTAAGAATATTGAATGTCAAAGACAATATAGATTGAACGCTGTGTAATTTAGTGGCGCTATCTATGGTTTTGTTATCATCCTCTACTATCCTCTTTGGTCTAGTAAAAGGCAAGAGGGTACAAGAGATTAAATGTCTATTTCTTACATTATATTTTTACGGTGTATTTACTGTTGTTACTTGTATAGTCGGTAACAAAATCCTCTGTATAAAATCTTGTTCCAATGTGTTCCTTTGACTCTTGTATTATATGAATATTAGTTTTTTTTTCTTTTTTGTCACACTGTTAATATTGCAATAGCTTTTATAGCAATAAATGATTTTCTTAAAAGTTCAAAATCATTTTCGATAAAATTTATATGCGACCTTCTCACAAGTATTATCCTTGCGATTATAAAAATGATTTTGAAAACCGGCGCTTACTTGACGGAGAAATCGTGTAACAAAAAAAAAACAAAAATTGAACAGCGTTAAAAGTTTTAGACGTTCAGCACCAGAAGCGCTGTTGACACACATAAAAGAAAAAAAAAATGATCTGCAAAGATTAATAAAACTTCCAAGGGTTTTATTTTAAATAAATTGAATCTGGAAGTTTTCGAGCTGCGATTATAATTTATTTATTGATACACATACTCACGAACACCCCTCTTTTTGCGTCGGGGGTTAAAAAATAACAACAGTTGAATCGAGAACCCCCTCTTTTTTTAAAGTCGGTCGAAAATATACAGGGTGTTACAGAATTCCGAAATAAAATTTGTAGGTATGTATTCCGAAATAAAAATTTGTAGGTATCTGAGCGGGGCGCAGGGGCGCCTGGGGGAGAGAGGGGGGTCTGTTTAGGTAGTAGTAATCGTACGCATTTATAGGGTTGTCATAGGCAGGTGTAAAACGATATTTTTATTAATTTAATTAAAAAATAAAAGTGGTCTGAAAGGCGTCAAACTTTCGTAGGTAATTCTATACAAGGAACACAACCAAACCCTAAAGTTTTATTTCGGACTTTTGTCACACCCTGTATAAGATATGATAATAACGTATATTTATATTATCAGCGTGATAAACGAGAAAAATAATTCTAATTGTTATTAAAAAAAAAAAATTATGCCATGCGACATTAAAAACTGTTTTTCTAAAAACATTTTTTTTATTCACTAATTTGATTTTAGTTTAATTAGTTTTTTGAATTTTGTTACCGACTGTACTACGATTTCGTGAAAATATTTTTTCAAATGAAAGAAAAGGAGAGTTTTTGTCTATCTTTTAGTTAAGAATTGGGACCCTGTTTATTATTTCTTATTTTTTGTATGTATTATGCTTAGATTACAGAAGAGCAAAAGACAGATGGAGCGTACGGTACAAGCAATTAGTGCCACCAAAGCAAATACGAAGTCAAAAGTAAATGCTTTTTTTGACTTTGTGAACAGTTTTTACGATGAATGAACAAGGAAGGCGGCACGATTTTGATAAATAAAAACGAGTGTGCTTAGTGTGCGACCACCGAGTGTGCTTATGACCACATGACTGAAGTGAAACTTCTTTAGCTCCATCTGTGTCATCCATACATGTACATACATTAATTTTCTACAAATATTTAAATTTATTTTATGTTTTCATTGATAAACAAAAAAGTCAAATTTACCAATTTCAAAGTTCCCAAACTTAACCTGAAGATTTGTTGATAGAAGAAAAAAATAAAATAAACGGCGGCTTTCATTGGCGTATAATTATGTAGTTGTAAAATACTCAGTTGTTATTATTGATAAATCACGTCGTGTAATCATAAAAACTATTTCGATAGTTAACACCAAGTAAACATGTAAGTTAGCACTAGATTAATGTATTTTGTGACGGGTACGGTACCCCCCAAGTGAGTTAAGAAGTTTCACTTCAAAAACCGAATGTTCACGGGACGTATTACAACACGATGCATTGTGGTGTATTGACGCGAATTGATAGTCGCTTTTGACTTCGCATTTGCTATTGTGCCACGCATTGCGTGTCCCGTGCGGTATGTATATAAATACACATATTATTATATTAATTTTCTACAAATATTTAAATTTATTTTATGTTTTCATTGATAAACAAATTGAATTGAATATTCACGGGAGGTATTACAACACGATGCGTTGTGGTGTTCTGATGCGAATTGATAGTCGCAGTTGTCTTCGTATTTGCTATGATGCCACGCATTGCGTGTCGCGTGCGCTGCCTTTTGTTCTGTAATCTGAGGTATTATGTATTTGGATAAAAAAATCCTATACGAGTATTTGAGTAACATTGTCCGGCCTATTATTAAAGTTGCTTAATTAATTTAATTCGGTGTGGAGTAGTAAAAATGTTTTCATGATATTCCCCTAAGTAATACTGTTATTAAGTGTGTATTGTGTTATTATTTTTATTGTATATTAAACTGAGAATAATATTTTGACGGTGATGTATACCCACCGCGACGAGAAAAAGAAATACATCACAAAGTATATTATATATGTATAGTAAAGTATTAGCACGAGTCAATATCGAATTCGAATAGTTTGCGAGTGCGAAATGTCAATGTCATAAGTTTGTATGGAAACTTGAACAGCAGCGCGACAAAGTACGTAACGTGAACTAAAAATCAGTACATATTTGGCATTGACATTTCTGACTCGCAAACGTTACGAGTTCGATATTGGTTCGTGCTAAGGGTACAGTATTAGCACGAACCAATATCGAATTCGAATAGTTTGCGAGTGCGAAATGTCATTGTCAAATATGTACTGATTTTTAAGTTCTTGTTGCGTCCGTTATGGCGCTGCAAGTTACCATACAAAATTTGACAATTCAAAAAAATTCAAAATTCAATATCGTTTATTCAGTCTAGGCTGTTACAAGCACTTGTGAATGTCGAAAAGCTACGCTATCGGTTCGCAAATCTACGGCGGGAGACCTTGTACTGAGAAGAACCGGCAAGAAACTCAGCAAGGGCTGTTTTTTTCTCCCTGTATTATATACAGAGTCGTCAAATTGAAAAATGACTTTAATATGAGGTAACTCATAAAGTCACTTTTCATTACAAACAAAAAAAAAATGCAAATAATATAAAAATTATGACTATAAAATAACAAATAAAAATATGTAAAAAAAAAATGTGGTTTAACAAAGTTTAGGAATGACGTGTCCTACCGTTTAGGCAAAATAATAATAATGAACGATTAAAGTTTAGAACAACGATTAATAGTACCCAGTGAATTAAGAGCAGACTCATCTCCGCTGGCAGCACCCGTTCACGAGCATGACGCATGAACCAGCCATCGCTTCGCTCAACCATTTTTTAGGGAACGCAACGACCCGCCTCACACGACACCACCGAAGAGATTTTTAAGAGAGCATGACTACTCATAACCACACATGGATACTATGTTACAAAAATAGAAAAAAAAAAATATATATAGGTACCAGTGTACATTATTATAACAAACTATAAACACAACGGCAGGACACATGCATGTGATTACCTAAACACTGTTGTCGACTCTGGCAATACTCTCCCAACCCAAAACCAAATCCAACATCAGTCCCCCCTTTTCAGTCTGTATAGAGAATGACAAGGATACACCGCTGCAAAACCAAGTTCAGGTCTAGAAAAACATACCAGAATCCACACTGTACAATGACATTTCGCACTCACAAACTATTCGAATTCGATATTGGTTCGTGCTAAGGTTACAGAGGCCGAAGCACGAACATTGATAGCTTCGTA